AGTCACATCTACAACTGGGCATTGTTTTTGCTTTGGCTCCATCCCTTCATTCTTTCTGGAGTTATTTCTCCACTGATCTCCCGTAGCATATTGGGAGTACCGACCTGGGGAGTTTATCTTTCAGTGTCCTATCTTTTTGCCTTTTCATACTGTTCATGGGGTTCTCAAGGCAAAAATACTGAAGTGGTTTGCCATTCCCTTCTCCAGTGGACCATATTTTGTCAGAAGTTTCCACCAAGACATGTCCATCTTGGGTGGCCCCAAGCTTGTACATTTGGAGGTTCTCGGTTCACATACTGTTCTTGGTTCATGTAGTGTTGAAGGCTGGCTTGAAGCCTTTTGAGCTTTACCTTTGTGGCATGTGAATTGAGCACAGTTGTATGGGGGTGTGAGCGTTCCTTGGCATTGCCTTCCTTTGGGATTGTTTCTGTTTCATAGATAGATTCATTTGTGTCATATTGTAGATTCCACGTATAAGTAATGTCATGTGGTCCTTGTCTTTCTGGCTGACTTCACTGAATATGATAATCTCTAGGTCCATCCAGTTGCTGCAACTGGCATTATTTTGTTCCTTCTGATGGTTGAGTAGTCTTCTATGGTGTATATATATATATATACCACAACTTTCTTATCCACTCATCTGCTGATAGATATTTTAGGTTGTAAGGAACTCCATGAATTTTAAATTATTTTTTTTTTGTATAATTTGAAAAAAGTGCTGATTTGGATTTTGACTGTTGATGGTTTTTAGATGCGTCCTTTCAGCATCCTTTCATTTTTGGTTCAGGATTTGGTCACCTTGTGTCTGTACTAACGTGTTCTTCTCTTACTTGACCCGTGTCTGTGCCCCTCTGGGGTTCCCCATGACAGTTTCTGAGGACTCTCTTCCCAGGCGTCTGACTTTGCTTCATGCTTCTCTTGGTTGGGCTTGTTGGTGTTTGACATGATAAAACTCGAAAGCCTAATCTTCAGCCATTTATGACACTTAGGTCTCAGTTTTCTTGTAGCGTTCCATCTAATTCTTATGTGAAAGAATATATTAATAAAGTACTTGGGGACTGCAGAGTTATTTTGGGGCATCTATACTAAAAAATCTCATATAATTTTACTGTTCCACTAGCTTGGCTATCAATGTGAATGTTGAAATCTTTATATATATATATATGTATATATATGCCTCTCTATATAAATGCCATACATATATTTGTACATATGCCTATAAGGTAATCATTTAGTCTTGTCTGGCTCTTTGCAACCCCATGGAAGACACCCCATCAGGCTCCCTGTCCATGGAATTCTCTAGGCAAGAATACTGGAGTGGGTAGCCATTCCCTTCTACAGGACATCTTCTTGACCCAGGAATTATACCTGAGTCTTCTGCATTGCCAACAGATTCTTTACCATCTGAGCCACCAGGCAAGCCCATGTATGCCTCTGGGTGTACATATATCTGTTTTGTCCGGGAAGAATACTTTTAATTTGGGTGTTGTATGAAAGATGAGCACTACTTTTATCCCAGATTATTTTGTATTATGACAATAGCCATTTTGCTCGATACCTTTTTGTCCTGTGTTTTTGAGACAAAGGCATTAAGCGTGGATAGAAGTGGCTTCGGCCTGACTTTCAACTTCGTCATATGGCCTCTCTTGGTTTTAATACATCTAATGTGAAAAATGTATGTGATCACCTCCCATTTTTTATTTCTTTGTAAGTGCTTTCTCTTAATTTAATGGGATAAAAAGTGGGATGTAAAGGTGTGCTTTAAAAAGTTGCTGTCCATGATGATGGAGTCATTCAGAAAAGAAGACATCATCATAGAATAATAATACAAGTAAAACTTAGATAGCTTTTTTCCCATTAAAAAACTGGTATATATTATTTTAGGCTGCAGAGAATTACATCATATAATTTTGAATGGTTTTCAGAAAACCGGGAAATTAGGCTAGTTAATACTCAATGATGTAAGCTATGACAGGAACATAGTTGCTTACAGTATAATATAGTATTTGCTTAGTGAAACCTAAGATGAGAATAAAATTTCCTATAAAAATTCCATAAAAGAGGATGTTACACTGAAATGAAGCGTTTAGAATGAAAACAAAAATCTTGCGTATGTGGGAACTAGCCAAGTTTTTAAGGGTTATATGATCCCAGTGAAGCTGTGACGAAAAGGAAGGTAGTTCGCAGCATATGCAGCTTCTGGAAGCTCTAGACGAATGGGAAAAGCAGAATGGAAAGCTGCAGAGGGACCCCAGGGAAGATCGAATTCCGACAACGCTCAGGCTGCTCCTTCTCCAGAGTGGTTTTAGAACACTTTTTGCTTCATTAAGGTTTGTTCCTTGGAGTCTTTTAACAGAGGAAATCCACTGCAGCTTTTGTTTCACGAAAGGGTTAAATATCAGGAAAACAGAGGCAGCTTATCCCAGGTTGATGTATCACACAGCCGCTTTTGTGCTCAAACCACTATGTCATTCTGAAGGAGTGCTTTGTTCTCCAGCGGAGAGCTGGGCTCTTCAATGGCTGGATTCATTCTCCCGGATTGCTCACTGTTTACTCTATCTGCTAATGGCAGGCTTTGCTTGACAACATGCCCTTTCTTGTTGGGAGACTTGGCAAACTCAGAAACACTGGCTTTTATTTCTTCAAAATGTCTGAAGTTTGTGGATGCAAAGCATTTTTTGAACTTCAGAGATTTGTTTTTGTCTACACTGTTATGCACACCTGTTTGGTAATCTTGAAGTTAGCAGACTCTTCAAACAACATGTTTGTGAATAAAAAGTGTTATTTTTTTAGAGGTGATGTCGTTTACCTGTATTGTTGTCAGTGGATTCATTGTTTGTATAATCAATGTGAGATACCTTTCTAGTGATCATATTGGTGGCAATGTGAAAAGCATTAAAGAATTTCCAAATAATTCCCAGGAAATACATAGGTAGGCACATTTCAAGGTTATGAACACTTTGAAAGTGCAGTGAAGCAGTGAGCAGATTTCTTTGGAGGTCTGCTTTCTTAATAGATAAAGAGTCCTGATTGCTGTCTCCCTCCCTGAAATTAGTGGTATGTTTCCCTCCTGTAAGCTGTTTTCTCACTGTGTTCAGAATAACTACATCTCAGCCTCCCATCCTACCTCTGAACGCCCCTTCTGTAGACCCCAGAGGGTTATTTTGAGGGAGAGAGGATGCCCTTGGAGGTTGGAATGAGAGCCTTTCCTTAGAAGCTGAGAAACGGGTCTTAGAGATTCAGGGGTTGGTGCTGCTCTTTCTGATGGCTTTACTTTACAGTTTCCAGATTTGTTTCTACATTCTTTAAATGATTTTGAGAGGAAAGTTCCCTGACTGCGTTCTGGCCTTGAGTTAAGTTTTTAGCTACAGTGTTTTACACTTAGTATTCAAGGAGTATTTAGGAAGTCTTATAAAATCCTTTGTCAATAGAGCCAGTTTTAAGTAATCTCTGTGGTTTATAGCATCATGGTGTGTGTGTGTGTGTGTGTGTGTGTGTGTGAGATGTATGTTTGTGAAGATATAAGCTGGTGCTTATTTTAGTCTTTTATGATTCTGTGTAATAACCAATCTACTTACCTTATCTGTAGATATATATTGAGTGTCTACAATATATATGCCACTGTTTATCTCAATAGAAGGATAAAATACAAAAGTCTGTTAAAACCACGTGGCTCTTTGTATCTTGGAATTGGCTGGTTGGGAGAAAAGAGATGCACCTGTACTTTGAACAGTAAATTTGGAGGGCAAAGAAGTCTATGATCCTTCCAGGTGCCAGATTAATTGGCACAGGCTCAGGAGTAGGACTTGCCGGCGTCTCAGATGGTAGAGAATCCACCTGCAGTGCAGGAGATGTGGGTTCAATGCATGGGCCGGGAAGATCCCTTGGAGGAGAGCTTGGCAACCCACTTCAGTATTCTTGCCTGGAGAATCCCATGGATGGGGGAGCCTGGCGGGCTACAGTCCATAGGGTTGCAAAGAGTTGGACACGACCGGGCACCTCAGCACCCTGGAGTTCACGGAACAGAGGGGGACATGAGGGCGGGGAAGGTGAGTCAGTGCCCCGGAGGAGGTGGGGCTGGATGTCTGCTCCCAGGGTGGGGAGACCTGTGCAGGGGGCTGCGACCGGAGAGGGTGTTCTGCGTGGTGGCACCCTGGGCCTGATCTCTTTGGGAGGAACACTGAGAAGTTGCCAGTTGGATTAGAAGGATACTGTGGAGGTTAGTGGGGCTTAAATAGATTGAATGCAACAGATACTCATACATGTTCTGATCAGGGGCAATTTGTGGATTTTGCTCAAGTTTTATACATGAAAGTTGTTACATTTTTCTACATTTGCTTTTGGCTCACAAAAGTTTCTGAGAGAAGTGAGTGTTGACTGAAAAACTGAACAATCTAAAAGGTGAGAGTTACATTTGGTGAACAAAATTGAGGCCTTAATCCTAGGACACGGCCTCTCAGACAGCTCTGAGGGACGGCTCAGAAGAGGCCAGGGGAGGCCAGGATGTATGGGGGCTTTGCGACAGAGACTACCTGATTAATTAATTAGAGAAAACAAGAGCTCTTAAGTTAATGAATTGAGTGCTTTTCTGTGTATGGGAAGGTGCGGGCCTCTGAGCTCCTAGAGCTCCGTTCTTTGATCTGTGCCTCAGCTGCCTGGGGCCAGGATCCTGTGCTTTCTCACACTGAGACGAGTTTGATGGTTTGATGGTTTTGGGCTGGTGGTTTGACGTATTTACACCCTGAGTTCCCTCAGGGCTCATGGTCCGGGGAGCTGTAATGTGATGGCTGGGTGACTGCAGCATCCTTTGTTTACTAATACAATAGGAGGCAGTCTTAGTTCACAGGAGCAGTGTTAAAGATTGGATGAAAAACTCTGTATTTCAACACACGCTTAGTATTAACATTTGCAGTTGTTGGTATGTCAATAAGCACACATGTAAATTTCATATTGAATTGGCAAGTGAGAAACACCATTAATACAGCGTATGTTTTTCCTAGGCCGGACCTGATAGACATGAATACTGTTGCTGTTCAAAGCAACCTTGCAAATTTAGAGCACGCTTTCTATGTAGCAGAAAAAATCGGTGTTATAAGACTTCTGGATCCTGAAGGTGAGTGACTGTCTCGACCAGACGCTGATGGGCTGGAAAGTCCGATCTGAAAGAATTGATCAGCATGTTGAAATAATTCATGTTTTTGGCTGGAAAGTCTGATCTGAAAGAATTGATCAGCATGTTGAAATAATTCATGTTGCCGTTTTTAGATGTTGACGTCTCCTCACCTGATGAAAAGTCAGTAATAACTTATGTATCGTCTCTCTATGACGCATTTCCCAAAGTCCCTGAAGGTGGCGAAGGCATCGGGGCAAATGTGAGTATTGATTTTTCCATTCTGAAGTCGGTAACTCAGAACTGACTGAGTTCTCTGAGAGTGCTTTTTGCAGTCATATTTTTTGTTAATATGACTTAAAAGAAATTGAAGTATAGTAGATTTGCACTGTTCTGTTAATTTATGCTGTGTAACAACGTGATTCAGTTATCCATACATTTACATTCTTTTTTTTTAATATTCTTTTTCATTATGGTTTATCATAGGGTGCTGAATATAGTTCTGCTCATCCCAGCCTCCTCCTCCCAGCCTCCCCCAAGCTTCTACCCCTTGGCACCCGTTGATCTGTTCTCTGTGTTCGTGATTCTGTTTGTTTCATAGATAAGTTCATTTGTGTCATATTTTAGATTATGATACCATTCATATTGTATGGTATTTGTCTTTCTCTGTCTTACTTCACTTAGTACGATAACCTCTAGGTCTATTCATGTTGCTACACATGGCATTATTTCATTCTTTTATATGGTCAAGTAATATTCCATTGTATATGTGTACCATATCTTCTTTTTTTAAAAACCTTTTTACTTTGTCTTTAGTCTCACATGAACAGCAGCAGGATTCAGCCATATATATATACATATATCCATTCTTCCCCAGACTCCCCTCCCATCCAGGCTGCCACATGACATTGAGCAGAGTTCCATGTGCTATATAGTAGGTCCTTGTTGGTTGTCCATTTTAAATACAGCAGTATGTACCTGTCCATCCCAGACTCCCTAATTATCCCTTTCCCCATCCTCCCCCACCAGCAATCCTAAGTTCATCCTCTAAGTCCGTGAGTTTCTTTGTTTTGTAAGTACGTTCCTTTGTATCATTTCTTTTTAGACTCCACATATACGGGATGCCATGCGATATTTCTCCTTCTCTGTCTGACTTGCTTCCCTCAGTGTGACAGTCTTAGGCCCATCCATGTTGCTGTAAATGGCATTATTTCATTCTTTTTAATGGCCGAGTAGTATTCCTTTGTATATATGCACCCCATTTTCTTTAGCCACTCATCTGCTCATCAGCATTTAGGTTGTTTCCATGTCGTGGCTATTGTGAATAGTGCTGCTGTGAATAGACGTGCATGTGCCTTTTTGAATTAGAGTCCTGTATGGGTATATGCCCAGAGTAGGATTGCGGGATCATATGGTAATTATATTTTTAGTTTTCTGAAGAGCCTCCATACTGTTCTCCATGGTGGCTGTAAGATTCCCACCAACAGTCTAAAAGGGTTCCCTTCTCTCTGCACCCTCTCCAGCATTTATTGTTGACTTTTTAGTGATGTCTGTTCTGATCAATGTGAATTGATAACCTCATTATGGTTTTGTTTTGCATTTCTCTGATAATTAGTGATGTTGAGCATCTTTTCATGTGCCTATTGACCATGTGTATGTTCTCTTTGGAGGAACGTCTATTTAGATCTTCTGCCTACTTTTCAATTCAGTTGTTTTTGTGTTGTCAAGTTGTGTGGGTTTACAGTCTTTAAATGTCAAATATTTTTTAATGGATTTGAGTTAATAGGCTACTCAGTAAATTGGTACTATATGTATTTTAATGGTACCATTCCACCATTCAAGTATAACTCAGAAACATTTCATTTCGTAAAGTAGGCTATCCAGAGTTGCATGTCATTTTATAAACAAAAGCTAGAAACACTCAATTTAGAGATTTTTTTTCTTGTTTAATGTGCTGCTGTTTGACAGCCACCCAGTTTGCTATCCTTCTCTCTGTAGAGACGGTCTCACTTCCTAAATCACTTTCAAGTTTATAGACTTATGTGATCCCAGGAAGTAAGGTCGCTGTGTTGTGTTCTGATTTGAAGGTGAGGCCCAGAGGAAGGTGACTGGATTTTGCCAGACTAACAGGGCTTCTCTGTAGCAGGGCAGGATCTCTGACATGTTGCTCTGGGTTCTTGGTTTAGTCCCGGGCTCCCGGAAGCCTGCAGTGTATTCGCCGTGCGTGTCGTGCTGGCCCTGCTGACGAGCACTGTGCTGCTCTGGAGGACAGGACCCCCGCCCCACATGTGCTGTGCTCTTGGGGGACCCCCTCGCCCTGGCCCCTCCGCTCCTGCAGCTTCCGCCTTTGTTCTGTCTCACCTTGAAGATTCGGGAGCTCTCCCTTCGGTCTCTTGTGTCGCCTCCGGGTGCTCTGGTTTAGGCTTGCTCCTGTTCTCGCCTCTGTGCTCTGTCCTGAAGGCTGGTCCCCGAGCAGCTTGCTGCCGAGCTCACCCTCCGCTCCGCCGTCCGCTGTGACTCAGGCTGGAGCTGCCCGAGAACGTGCCTGTGGCCGTTCTGCGCTCCTCCCCACAGCCTGCGCGCAGCTCCTTACTCCCACCGCTTCACCGGGCTGAGGCTGTGAGCTTGCTTGTGGCCTTGCCGGCTCCCCTGATTTTCTGCTACCGTCATTTCTGCACACTGTCGGCACGTTGGCTTGAAAACCTCCCATGGTGTCATGTAGCTTGCAAGGCTCAGCCCGGTCTGGGTGTACTGACCTTCACGGCTCTGCATGTGTCAGCTCTTCCCAGCATCAGTCCCCACGTGAGCTGTTGGTGGTAGCTGGGGCGTTCCAGTCTCAGAATCCGTGCCCCCGTCCCATGCGTCGTCTGTCTGTCCCTCCCGCCGCCCACTCACAGCTCCTGCTCACTGTGTTTCTAGGCACGTCTGTGCTCACCTGACTTTTTATCTTGATGCCTCGCATCAACTACCCGCTTTTGTTATTTCAGCACTTCTTCAGTACTGCTTTTCATTTTGCATAACTGTTTATATTATGACTCTCTCTTGCCTCCTCGTCTAGACAGAAAATGCTTTGATAGAAGGGATCATCTCTTAAAGTATTATATTTTTATTACAGTGCTTAGCACAGTGCTTTGAACATCTCAAATGCTTAATTGGAGAAAACAGTTGACAGCTTCCAGTCTCCTTCATTTAAAAACAAAAGTTTGCTTAAGGAATATTGAATCATTCCCACCATGTTCGTTTCCTGTAGGTTTCATTCCTGTCAAGTTTCCTATGTATTACGTAGTTCGCTGAGTTTCAGATATAAGGTAGACTTAGAAAGGCTGGCAGGGAAGGTAGCTCACCTGGCTTTTGCAGGCCATTACTCCCTTTCTTGACTGCCTGGGAAACACTCCAAATTGGTCATGGCGTTTTTTTCTGCTACATTTCAGTGCAGCCTCAGAAGCCTTCTTAACATGGTATTTCAATCAGCCTGGATCCTTGGATCAGAGTTGGCATTCCTTAGGCGAGTCTTACTGGTCAAATGTTGATAGCATGTTTTTAGAGCTGTTTAAGTAGACAGAATTGAGACTGGGAGGGAATGAAGAAAACCTTGAACTGGTCCTCTCTGTCAGGCTTAAAGACCCGCAGATCCACACAGTGATCTCTGACCAGATTGTGTTAGACATGAATGTTGCCATCTGCAGATACAGACCTTTTTTGCCATCTTCTCCTTGCAGGATGTTGAAGTCAAGTGGATTGAATACCAGAATATGGTCAACTACCTCGTCCAGTGGATCAGACACCACGTGGCCACTATGTCGGAGAGAACGTTTCCTAATAATCCTGTAGAACTCAAGGTCTGTGTCCCTACAGAAGTTAAGTAGGGTTAAGTTTATTACTAAACTTTAAAAAAATGCTGAAAGGGGTCTATCATTTCAGAAACTGAAGAAAAATTACCCTTGGCAAGGTACCAATCAGCAGGCAAATTATTTATTTACTCATCTTCTATTATACAGAGGAAATGGAAGTCGACACTAATAGTTAAAACATCAGAGCAACAACATCTTAAATTTATAGTCCCTTCACTTTGCATTGTTGAGAGTTAATATGGGAGGGTCTCTGGAAGTGACATTGCGGTGTTATTTTTGGAACCTGGGAGACACCTGGAGCTAGCAGGTGGCCGGGGTAGGAGCTGTGTGGGAAGCTTGTGCAATACAAGGGTGGCCGGGCGTGTGCCTATGGTCACATCCCGGTAAAAACTGCCTCAGAGGCTTCTGTGGTACAAGATGTAGATTCAGTATTTCACCACGAATTCGAAAGGACATACCTGACTCCAGGGGTAAATGAGTTCCTGGTTTAATAGAACAGGTGCTACTACCTAAGAAACTGCGTCCATCTCTTTGTCACAGACATCACAGAGGTATTAAAAGATGGGGTAGATGTATAAACATTGAAACTAAGTTGACTCTTTTTGTACCTTGGGATGTGTCATAGCAAAGTAGTATACTTTGTTTCAAGAAATAGCTCATGTAGATATGAACAACAAGGTCTAATTCCTTTAACTGTAGACATTGTTTTCCTGATTGGAATTGCAAGAATGGTTCTAATGCAGGAGTGGCCCTGTCCACATGAGTAATTGCACCCATGCGCCTGTACACAGCGTCTGAGGAACAGCTTTTACTCACACCGGCTCAGGGAATTTGTCCTTTTGGCACCAGGCTCCTTGGCACGTGTCCACGTGGTGCTCCTTCAGGTCCTTCTGAAGCGGTTTTGTGTGATGTCTCCCAGGGTGGATGGTAACCTCTCCCGACAGGAAAACATTGTTCCCCGTTCCGTGACCACATCTACTGTGAACAGTGTCAGCACACGATGACATTCTGTGCTCACTCACCGATGGACATCCTGAAATGCTGCACTTTGGGTTTAGCCAACTTGTAGATTTCAAGTTCCACTTATTTCCACATGGATTCATTGTCCAGACATTTGAGTAAATTAATGATTAGTGCAGATGCTTAAATTATTGAAGAAGTTTGACTACACAGATTACTTGCTGGTGCCTGGGATAAGACATGATATAGGAAAGAAATAAATCATGGGGAAATACCAAATATTGGTTTTGCCAAAGAGTTTATTTGGGTTTTTCCATAAGATATTACAGAAAAACCCAAAGGAACATTTTGGCCAACTGAATAATTTTCTTAACCAGCAAAGCATTAAATGGACTCCTTCAGAGAAATGTCTCTCCTCCAATATTTGCATGGACTTGTTTTAAAGCAGCATGAATTAGGATGAAATAATCAGTGTACACTTACTAAATGTGGAGCTATTTTATCAACATAATTTTTATAAGCTCCTTGTTAATAAACATAATAAACATATATTTAAGAGAGTCCCAAATTAATATCTATAAATTGGATAGTAATTTAATTATATGACTCAAACTTTTATAATAATAGCAGGAACCAGTAACATCTTTTTTTACTGTAAGATCTGCTTAATTTGGCCAATGGGGCACTGAAAGCAAATTTTACTCCTGTCTGTCTGATGAGAATTCTGTTTTCAAGAATAGACCATGAAATAGAGAAGAATGCTTCCCACCCCATTTTATGAGAGTTGCATCAGATGATTTTTCCAAAAAGTGAAAGCTAAAGTACAGCATTTGCAAAGTGTATCTTTTAAAGGATGTGTCTTCTTATTTGGATGATGAGAGATCCTTAGTAGAGTTGTGGTTTCCTGGTGGTTCAGCTGGTAAAGAATCTGCCTGCACTGTGGAGACCCAGGTTAGATCCCTGGGTCGGGAAGATCCCTTGGAGAAGGGAAAGGCTACCCACTCCAGTATCCTGGTCTGGAGAATCCCATGGACACAGGAGCCTGACAGGCTACAGTCCACGGGGTCACAAAGAGTCAGACACGACTGAGCAACTAACAGACCCTGTTGTGGTTTTCACTATCCAGATGCCTGGGCAGCATATGTTGAATCGGGCTCACAGCCCTAATCACATCCTCTTCAGATCCCTTAGATCCTGTTTACCAACTGCCTGAGAACTGGCGTCTTTGATTGTCTATTTTACGAAGGAATGCCTCCCCTGGTGGCACAGTGGTAAAGAATCTGCCTGCCAATGCAGGAGATGCAAGAGATGCGAGTTTGATCTCTGGGTCAGGAAGATCCCCTGGAGAAGGAAATGGGAACCCACTCCAGTATTCTTGCCTGGAAAATTCCATAGACAGAGGTGCTTGGTGGGCTACGGTCCATGAGGACCCAAAAAGTCAGACATGGCTGAGCACATATGCCACGCCACCCAGGGAAGGTGACAGAATAGAAAGCATTTGAAGTCATGACATTACGTGATGATAAAAACAGATTTTTGAAGTTCAGCGCTTCATTTATTTTCCCTTTCCTTTTAGGCACTTTACAATCAGTATTTACAGTTTAAAGAAACAGAAATTCCACCAAAGGAGACAGAAAAATCAAAAATTAAACGCTTATATAAATTATTAGAGGTAAGCAAAAATTTCCCTTTAATTGGCAAATGCCTCCTTTTTTAAAAACACTTTATTGGTATAGTTGATTTATAATGTTGTGTCAATTTCTGCTGCATACCATGGTGACTCAGTTATATACCTCAGTTGTATATATATTACTCTGCTGTACGGTAGGACCTTGTTGCTTGTCCATTCTCTATATAATACAGTTTGTACCTGCCAATCCCAAACTCAGTCCTTCCCTTCCCCCTTCTCCAGCCCCTCCCCTTTGTCAGCCACAAGTTGGTTCTCTGTGTCTGTGATTCCGTTTCGTCGATAAGCTTTCTTGTGTCAATGTTTTAGAGTCCATCTGTAAGTGATATCATCTGATATCAAATGTAATCTTTATTAATAGTCTGTCTTGATTTAAGAAACAATTTTTCATGTCTTTGCTTCACATCAACTTTTTGTGCTGTTTTCTCTAGATTTGGATAGAGTTTGGACGCATCAAACTCCTTCAAGGCTATCACCCAAATGACATAGAAAAGGAGTGGGGAAAGCTCATCATCGCCATGCTGGAGAGGGAGAAGGCTCTCCGCCCCGAAGTTGAAAGGTTGGGGCGTTCTCTGCCCTGGGTGTCCAGTGGGGGGTCCACTTCTGGTGCAGAAACAGCTTAAGCTTTGGAGACATGCCATCCCGGACCAATGTTAACCTTTTCCATTTGCTTGTTTGTGTGACCTTGGCTCAGTCTTTCTGATTCTCCATTTTCTTATCTAGAAACTCTTCCACGAGGTTTGAGGAAGGAATCAGGGAAGTAATGTTGGAGGGGGGCCAAGGTTGGTGTGTGCAGGTTGCATCTCATATGGCAGTTACAGACTTAAAAGTCAGGGGGACCCGTGAGAATTTCTCCAGCTTTTAAGTCACCAGAAGCTCATCCATACACAACATAGGTTAACCGTGAGCTTACCTTGTTTCTGGGTGTGTTTTGGGCTACGGCCCTCTCTCCGTGGGCAGTGAGGCAGCACCTGGAGGACACGTGGTGATCGCTGTTTCAGTCCCGCCCTGCCTGTGGGCCCGAAAGCATCCCTTAGCTTCCTCCTCTCTCTCCTGCCTCGCCAGGAGCCCCGGAAGGTCCCCTGGGTCCTCAGGGGACCAGGTTTGTTGGATGGTCTGTCTCTGTGGCCGTCCTTCCGTTCCAGCCTGAGCTGTGCTGCGTGGGGCTCGTGGTCCGAGTCCCCGAGGCCGGCCTTCTGGCGTGGCCAGGGGCCAGGCTGCCCGCAGCCCCCTTGCCCTCTGCGAGCCACGCCAGCCACCTCTCAGGAGCGCTGGCCTGCCCATTTCCCAGCCTCCGCGTCTGTGAGATCTCAGTACTGTCTGTTCCTGCGGCTGGATCGTCTGGTTCCTCCTCTCCTTACTCCTCATCTTCCTCAGACCTCAGCTCCAGTATGATTTCCTCCAGGAACTTTCCGAAGTCTGCCAGGCTGGTTCAGGTGTTCCGTGTTGACCCTCCCGTTACATGTGGTCCTCCTTCATAGACTCATCTCAGTTGTAATTTATACATTTCTCTGCGATTGCTTGAATGAGGACTGCCAGTTCCACAGAGTGAGCTCTAGTAACATGCAGACAGATTCCTGTGTTTGTGGTTCCTTGTTCTGCCCACAACACCGGCTCTGCTACCTGGAGGCCCTCAATATACTGGTGTTCTCTGCACCCACTCATAACTTCCACGTGGAAGAAGTGTGAACTTGATTCATTGAAGATCCGAAGGCAGGTCTGGTTTCTCAGGCCTTTATGACATCATTTATGACACGCTTGTTAAAGCAGAGTATTCTGTCTGCATAACTGGATCCTTTTGAACCAGAACAAGTGTGAAATGCCCAGGATGGACCTTTTAGGGAGGAGATAATTCTGGGTGGTTCAAATGAAATGCTCAGCTTCTAATCTGATGAAAGGATAGAAAAGGTGCCAGAGAAAGAAAGGGGCAGGGTTGATTTTAGTCGTCAGAATAGCAGCTGGATTTTAATTTATGTGAATAAAAGAATGCTGTGGTTAGGAGTTCAAGGTCTAGGAACCAAGTCAGTCCTGGATGAATTACTAGCCCCGTGTTCATGTCATGTAACCTTAGATTCACTATCCTCTCTAAACTTCACTTTCCTCATTTGTCAGTAGGTAATAGTAGTAGGAACCACATTTGGTGGTTCTGAGTATGTCTGTAAAATGATTAGTTAATTTCCTGGCACCTGACAATTGCTTCAGAAATGTTAGATGCTGGCTATTATTAGTTTGCGCTCTTCTGTTTACTGACTATATTTGACGTGGCTCTCTCAAATTCCCTTCTAAAAAGGACAGTGTCTACCTCTAGTTGGGGAAGCAGCAGTTTGGCTTTGCAGTGTTGGGGATAGGAAAATATTTAGCATGGCTGATTCAATGCCTTCATTTTTCTTGAAGCAACAAGTTTTTTGGCATTAAGTCTGTATTGCAAAATAATAGCTCTGTGGCATGGGAGTGTGTAAAAGGCAAATGAGAAAGAGCCAGTGATCTTAGGCCAGGTAATAACCTGTAGAAAGGAAAAAACAAGCACAGACAAATTAAATCTCCAGGCATCACACTGATACTCTTCTTAGCACTTTGGCTTTTAAAAGTAAAAAGTAACTTTAGTGAGAGTAGACCTAACATTCCTGGGAGCGGTTCCTGTGGGGGAGAGAAGGTAACTGGACACTTTTCCAGTTAGTGTAACCTAATCAACAAAGGCTGTGGTGGTTAAAAAGGAAAGATGCTTTGCTTCTTGTCAAATTTGTTTGCTTGTAGGTGTTTGTACATACCGGTTTTTTAACCCGGTGTTGTTCAATACAGAGCTGGTTTTTCCAAAATGCTAGGATGAGGCTCTGATTGGCTATTTGTGTTCTTTTAGCTGATGATTGGTATTGCCAGTGACCTGATTGTACTTGGGCTTCGGTGAAACATCAGAGTTGTTTTTGAGGTGGTGGCAAGTGAATGACTCTTGGTGAAAATATTTGGCAAGTCTTGTCCAGTGACGCCCCATCAGCCTGCCTTGTCCGTACATGTAGGGCTTTAGTGTAGGATACAAAAGGCAGACCTTAGCTAGCAAACCCATGGCTCTAGGCAGGATTCTTTTGAATAGTTATCACTGTATTATTTGGTGCGTATTGAATATGCATGTTGGGGCATATTTAAGGAGCCATTAAAAGCTGTAACAGCCAGTCACCTCTCTTCACCATTAGAAGTAGCACTTTCTGCAGACTGTGTGCTTTCTAGTCTCCTGTTAATGGTGGAAGAAAAAACATCATTGCAAGGATAAAAATGCACAGCAGTAGTTACAGTTACCGGAGCAGTGATTCTGTGTTTAGTAACACGACCAGCACTCGGACTAGTCTTGACTCAAATGAGAATTTCCTCTCAGTTCATTGTGGTCCAACCCTGATCAACTCCTGTATTAGCTTTGGCAATGAATCCTTTGATGGACACAGGTATGGAGTCCTTGGTGTGGGATTGTGGTTTTTCTTTTGGTGGGCCGTGTTTTTCAGGGGTGGCTAGCTCTCTGACTCCGGAAGGAGAGACTTTATTTTATTTTGTTTCTTCTTTCAGGTTGGAGATGTTGCAGCAGATTGCTAACCGAGTTCAGAGGGGCAGTGTCGTCTGTGAAGACAAACTGTTGCTTGCCCGAAATGCTCTCCAGTCTGTAAGTTTATTTCAGGAGCTGCTGGAATTGCTGTAGAGGGGTCGGTACATTCAGATGAAATAAAATCTTGTATGCTTCCCTGGTGGTCAGATGGTAAAGAATCTGCCTGCAATGTAGGAGACAGGAGTTCGATCCCTGAGTTGGGAAGATCTCCTGGAGAAGGGAATGGCTCCCCACTCCAGTATTCTTGCCTGGAGAATTCCTTGGATAGAGGAGCCTGGTGGGCTACAATCCATGGGGTCGCAAAGAGTCGGACACGACGAAGCGACTAACACTTTCATGGCATGCGGGGTCTAGTTCCCTGACCAACAGATCCAACCCATGTCCCCTACAGTGGACACGCTGAGTCCTAACTGCTGGACCACCAGGGAAGTCCCTGAGGCTAGTTTTGAAGCTTGTTTAATTAATTAACTAATGTAGAGTTAATATTGAATTGTTTTAAAATACAGGATTCTAAAAGGTTGGAATCCGGGCTGCAGTTTCAGAATGAAGCAGAAATTGCCGGATATATCCTTGAATGTGAGAACCTCCTACGCCAGCATGTAATTGACGTACAGATTCTTATTGATGGGAAGTACTACCAGGCGGACCAGCTGGTGCAGAGGTGAGGGTGCCTCTTATTCCGCCTGTCCTTCCCTGCGACTGTTCCACGGCCCCGCATCGAGAATGTGGAGTGTGATGAGTTTGTGAAATATTTCTTAAGCTCTTTTTTGTTGAAAATGGGTCACATTAATTGTGTCATATTTCGGTGTGTTTAGTAGGTTTTGTTCTTCAAAGATAAATAATAGAAAAAAATTTTATGATACATATAATATCTAACACTGTAGTAGCTAACCTACAGATGAAATATTCATATGTGATATTTGAAAAAGGGACAATAATGAGGAAATTATCTTTTAAGTCAACTTTTCAGTTTTGTGTTTATCTTATGAAAGTGCTCATAACAAAATATTGGGAAAATACGTATATAAAAATTTGTGTCTCTGAGAAGTGGATTTGGGGATAGGATTGGAGTATTTCTGGTTGTATATAATATATATTATGTAAATATCTAGATATATATATATATATGGCAAAAACTATGAATGATGCTTTAAATGAGTAATTTTGCTTTTAGAAATCTATAGTAGTTCTAAATATAGAAAATATCTAAATAAACATAGGGAAAAAAGTGTCCATGTCAAAAATTTGGAATCCTGTGTGTCAAATAATAGGAGAATGAGCATATACTATGATAGTGTAATTGCCTTCATTATAAATTACAGTTGTAGAGATCATATGATAATATAGAATACTTATAGTACAACCTTGAGTGAAAAAATTGTGATGTAAATTTTTATCAGTGTGACCATAATGACATTTTAAAATAGACTATTTATTTGAGCAGCTTAGGTTTATAAAAAATTGCGTGGACAGAGTTCCCAAACACCCCTTCAAAGCCTCTTCCCCTGTTACTAATATCTTGCACTAGTGTGATGCCTTTGTTATGTCTGATGAGCCAATATTGATCATTTTGGTAACTAGAGTCCCTAGTTTTAGAGGTCAGCCTTTGTGAAAAGTTCCTCTTACATTATAGCTTACGCATTTTGATTTTCTTTTTAGGGTCGCAAAACTGCGCGATGACATCATGGCCTTGCGGAACGAATGTTCCTCAGTGTACAGCAAAGGTCGCGTGCTGACGACGGAGCAGACGAAGCTCATGATATCAGGAATCTCTCAGAGTTTAAGCTCAGGATTTGCACAGACCTTAAACCCCAGCGTGCACTCAGGGCTGACGCAGGGTCTCACACCTTCCCTGACCCCGTCTAGCGTGACCTCGGGCCTGTCGTCAGGGCTGACTTCCCGCCTGACCCCGTCTGCCACCCCTGCCTATACGCCTGGCTTCCCGTCAGGGTTAGTTCCAAATCTCGGCTCAGGAGGGGAGACAGGCCCCCTGCAGACTCTGAAGCTGATGCAGATCCGAAAGCCCCTTCTCAGGTCGTCTCTGCTGGACCAGAATTTAACGGAAGAGGAGATCAACATGAAATTTGTTCAGGACCTTTTAAATTGGGTGGATGAGATGCAGGTAAAAACATTTACTTTTACCTGAGTTTCAGGCCTTATTGCTACCAGTGTTTTTTTCCAAAACCTCATCTCTTCCCATTTAAAGGTGCAACTGGACCGCACTGAGTGGGGATCAGATTTGCCAAGTGTTGAAAGCCAGTTAGAAAATCATAAAAATGTCCACCGAGCTATTGAAGAGTTTGAATCTAGCCTTAAAGAAGCTAAGCTCAGTGAGGTATGTGAATTTAAAGTCTGTATGTATTTCATCCCAGCTTCTGCTTTGCTCTTTCTGTTAAGACCCTGTTGTCGCAGGGTAAAAGATACATTGCCAGTGAATCAGAATTTCTTAAACTTCCTAACCTGCTGTCTTTTTATCCCATGTTATAGATCCAGATGACAGCACCTCTTAAACTAACTTATGCAGAAAAGTTACACAGATTAGAGAATCAGTATGCAAAACTCTTGGTAAGTTTTTTAACTTTCCCTTCCCTTTATCTCTATATGGCAAAGACATGATTCTTACCATGATTCTCCTTATAAAGAATACATCCAGGAATCAGGAGCGGCACCTGGACACACTCCACAATTTTGTAACTCGTGCAACAAATGAACTTATTTGGTTGAATGAAAAAGAAGAGGAGGAAGTTGCTTATGACTGGAGTGAAAGAAACACCAACATAACCAGGAAGAGAGATTACCACGCGGTGAGTGCAGTTTCTCTGGCCGACGTTACAGGTGCCTCTCAGGTTTGTCATTTCCTAACGTATTTATTTCAATTAGGAACTGATGAGAGAACTTGATCAAAAGGAAGAAACTATTAAGTCCGTTCAAGAGATAGCGGAGCAGCTGCTTCTGGAAAATCACCCGGCCCGGTTAACCATTGAGGTGAGTCAGAAAGTGTAATATGGATATTTGAATATTACCTTTCAGATTCTTTTATTGTTTGTGGATAAATAGAAAAATGCAAACTGTCAAACTTTTACTACAACCTGGCTCAGAAATAACACTTCTGACAAATCATACTGATGCGCCCTCAGGTCTGTGTGAAGTGTATCACCCATTTGTGTCAACCCGTGTGGCCAAAGAGATGTGTGACAGTAACTCTGAAGGACCTTGACCTGTCAGGCTTTGAAGTTAGTTTCTTCCTGACCACGTGATGTTGCACAAGGATGTAGCCTTGCTGGGTCCCATTCACTTACCTAAAATGGGGGAAATTGTTCCTAACTGTAGAGTTGTGTGAGGAGGAGAAAAGTGTACTGTTACTGCTTAAACCAGTTCTTGATACATTAGTAGATTCTCAAGAAGTCCTAGTTATGATTATTTCATTTACTAATTTTGTCCATGATCTGGTTCTGGGAGGAATGTCCTCAGGCTGTAACACCCATTTCAGACTCGGAAGGGGAGGGCTGACCTGGAGTTGAGGCTGCCCATGAGGTGCAGGTGGGGTGGGGGGTGTTTAATTTTTAGGCCTGATATCTGCTAGAGTTAATGACTTCCTCAGTGTGCTGGGGGTTATGTAAGAGGGGGAGAAGTATCAAATGTGGACAGTTGTATATTTCCAGAGGAAGAAAAATGGAACTGCTTACAGTGGGATGTGCGGTTGAGGAAAGGGATCTGAGAATCTTTGTTCCCTAAAATAAGTTGTCATGGCACAGAAGATTCATGAAATTCTAGACCTCATCTGGAGGTCTGGGGAATGTTACAGTTGCCCTTCTTTCATGTGAAAATGTGGTTTTCATCCCCAGGAAATGCCACATAGAAATGTTAAGGACCTAGAAGAGTGGCGGGGGCGGGGGGGCACTAGGGAAAGGAGATTGGAATCATGACGGGTCTGGATATACTATGATATACTATGATCAGCTCAATGTGGGGTATTCCTTAAAGTAGAGAAGTGACAGCTGCTAGGAAGTGCGATTATAGGTTGAGACTTTTGATAGGAATGGATAAAGTGGATGTGAACCTGATTACCTTTAGGTAGAGCTGTTAGTCTAATTAAGAGGCTGTGGAAGAATAAAATTAAGCCTTAGTCATCTTTATGGTTCTTCAGGCCCATCTAGTGTATTGTAGGCGACGGATAGTAGTTAATTATCAACACTATTTTGTATTTTATGAGGAAAAGAAGCTAATAATCTTAACAATGCACGATGTGTATTTTATAGCCAATTTACTCTAAGTAGCTTAATTGGAGGGAGCACATAACGTTATCAGGAAGTGTTGCCAGATTTCCACGGTTGCCTTGTACATTCCATCCAGAAAGCTGCCTGGACTGAGCTCTGCGGCCTGTTTCTTCGGGAGGGGCCGCCTTACGTAAGACAGGCGTCAGAGCAGCTGGGCCGCCCTCTTCTGGAAGCCAGGGAACTGCACCTTAAATAGGAAAGGGTGTTTCCTATTTCCCTGTGAGTAGGTGTCTTTCCTACATTACTTTTGCTCTCATGAAAGAGGCACCTTGTACTGAATAAAGATTCAAGTAAAAAACATTTGAAATGAAACTTCCTAGTATTATCTTTGATATGATCCCATAATTACACTGATAAGGGATTGCATATAAGCTTTTCCACCCTCCCCAAACAGTCCTGATAAAACAGATAGATCAGCCCCACTCCTGCCAAGAGCTTCAAGACTAGTTTTGGAAGCAAAGACCAAGAAAAAACTACACACCATGTACTTTGGTATCAGAAGGGGTGTTTTATTACACAGAAGTACAAAACTTCAGAAAACAGGACAGAGGAAAATGGAGTGAAGGGGCTGTGTCTGAGGATTCCACACAGGAAAGTGTTGGACCCCTTGCATCCATCGTAAGTGTTAACAGAAGTCTGTCTGAAAGAACAGCCCCCGAGTTAGCATTTTTCATGTATGTGACAAGAAAAACATGTCAGGAAACTGAAAATTTGAAAGAAATTGGACTGATTGAAAAATGTATGTTTAAGCTTTTAGGATTGGCTTTGTGCAAGTGGGGATGTTTAGCTTAGCGGGACGTTTCATGTCCCTGATTCTCAAGCCTCTGTTGGAGGCATCTCATCACCCGTGTCGACCATCGTCTTTTAACCCTGCGAAGCCTGGGTGTGCCTTTCTGTGCAGACGGCAGCGGTGACTGTGTTTTCTCTGGCAGGCCTACCGCGCGGCCATGCAGACGCAGTGGAGCTGGGTCCTACAGCTCTGCCAGTGTGTGGAGCAGCACGTGAAGCAGAACGGCGCTTATTTTGAGGTACGGAGCAGTCGCCGTATCGGCGGGTGGTACCGCAGGTTCGGCTGAGTTACAGGAAACATCTCCGTGGTGTAATGTTGGGATGCGTGTATGTTACGATTGGGGGGGAAGGAAACCAAATCGTCTTCATTGTAGGATAGAAGGGTTGTATGTCCTTTAGGATAAATGGAAGCATTTCAGTAAAGAAGAAATACTTTAAAAACCACTTAAAATGTCAGAACATCTTAACTTTGTCCATGCTTCTCTTTTTGAGGAACAGTTTTACTAGGGGGAGCTTTTTTTCTATTCTTCAGAAGTTTTAAAATATTCTTGGAATTTCACCCCCGCTTAACAGCTGTTTGGGCTTCCCTGGTAGCTCAGCTGGTAAGGAATCCGCCTGCAATGCTGGAGACTCTGGTTTGATTCCTGGATCAGGAAGATCCACTGGAGAAGGGAAAAGCTACCCACTCCAGTTTTCTTGGGCTTTCCTGGTGGCTCAGAGGGTAAAGAACCCACCTGCAATGCAGAAGATGTAGGTTCAAACCCTGTGTTGGGAAGATCCCCTGGAGAAGGGAATAGCTACCCACTCCAGTATTCTGGCCTGGAGAATTCCATGGATAGAAGAGCCTCCCAGGCTATAGAACATGGGGTCGCAGAGAGTTAGACATGACTGAGTGACTTTCACTTTCATTTAACAACTGCTTAAGTGTTTATAGATGTTCTGAAGTGAAACATGTTCTATCAAAGTGATATAGGGCCACGACCACAATATAGACCTAGACTTTGTTATATAGATGTGTTATTTTTCATATTCTTTTCATTATGGTTTATCACAGGATGTTGAATACAGTTTCCTGTGCTATACCAGTAGGACCTTGGTGTTCATCCATCCTGTGTGTAATTGTTTGCATCCGCTAACCCCAGAGTCCTAGTCCTTCCTTCTCCCACCTCTCCTCCCCCTGGGCAACCACAGGTTTGTTCTCTGTGGATATAAACTTGGGACACTTAGCATTCACTCATCATCACCCGAGTTTAGGAGTTGGTGTTTGGTTAAGGGGAAGGCTGTGGGGCAGCAGTCTTGTGGTCTCCTGTCCCCATGGAGGAAGGCACGCGGGGCTCTGGGGCCGCAGTCCTGTGGTCCCCTCCTGTCCCCATGGAGGCAGGCACGCGGGGATCTGGGGCCGCAGTCTTGTGGTCCCCTCCTGTCCCCATGGAGGAAGGCACGCGGGGCTCTGGGGCCGCAGTCCTGTGGTCCCCTCCTGTCCCCATGGAGGAAGGCACGCGGGGCTCTGGGGCCGCAGTCCTGTGGTCCCCTCCTGTCCCCATGGAGGCAGGCACGCGGGGATCTGGGGCCGCAGTCTTGTGGTCCCCTCCTGTCCCCATGGAGGCAGGCACGCGGGGATCTGGGGCCGCAGTCTTGTGGTCCCCTCCTGTCCCCATGGAGGAAGGCACGCGGGGCTCTGAAGCTCAAACCTGACAACTGGGCGCTTTGCTGACATTTCATACACTTTAACTGCCCGTTTTCATCTTTTCCTAGTTTTTCAACGATGCCAAAGAAGCCACAGATTACTTGAGGAATCTAAAAGATGCCATTCAGCGGAAGTACAGCTGTGACCGGTCCAGCAGCATCCACAAACTGGAGGACCTCGTTCAGGAGTCAATGGTATGAATAGGAAGACCCCCAGGTTTCCTCAGTGATGTATAGTGGGGGCTAGATTCGTGCCTTATTGTATTCTATGTGTGTGCAGCTTCGCACTTTATTGGAAGTCTTGATGTTTCCACCTCCTCAGGCATTTAAACATTCAGTTTTACTGTTGTTTGTTTTTCCCGTAACGCAACAGGAGTGTTGTTTGATGTGATTGCCTTGGTGTTTTAGAATGCTCCCAGTGTTTTGTGTGTGAGTATGTGCGTTTAGTCATTTATTCCATAAAGACGTGTCAGCATTTCTATATCCTAAACACTACTTTTAGTGCTGGGACTGAAGACAGCAGATGAGAACCCTGCCACGGGTGGGATGCAATGAACATGATAAATCAGTAAAATAGCAACATATGTAGTCTGTTAGATAGTGGTAAATGTGAAGGACGAAAGAAAACAACCAGACCGCACGGGGGGCGAGCAGGCGGAGAGGGGCTGACGGTTCAGAGGGGCCCGAGGGAAGACTTTCCTGGGGAAGCGGCATTTGTGCACAGCCCTGAGGGAACAGAGAGCACAGCCGTTTGCTTCAAAGCCTTCTGATTTATTCCCTAGGAAGAGAAAGAAGAACTTCTGCAGTATAAAAGTACAGTGGCGAGTCTGATGGGGAGGGCAAAAACCATCGTTCAGCTGAAGCCCAGAAATCCTGACTGTCCACTCAAAACTTCTCTTCCGATCAAAGCCATCTGTGACTACAGACAAATTGAGGTACTTTAACTCCTAGGAACAGACCTGTTTCTGGCATTATTCATATCATTATTCACATTCTGGCATTATTCATATTAAAAAACAAGGTCATATCGCTCACTAGTGGTAAAGTTTTCCACCTTAAAAAAGACAAAAAAAAATTGCCAAGACTGGGTACGGAAAGAGACGAATGTCACAGTGACCACGTCTGGTTGTTCTGTTCTTCTTTTAAAACCAGATAACCATTTTCAAAGACGATGAATGCGTTTTGGCAAACAACTCTCATCGCGCTAAGTGGAAGGTCATCAGCCCCACTGGGAACGAGGCCATGGTCCCTTCTGTGTGCTTCACCGTCCCTCCTCCAAACAAAGAGGCGGTTGACTTTGCAAACAGGTTTGTGTGCGTTAGCTCCAGATGCAGGGCTGGCTTTGGGGGTCTCTGAAGGTTAAAGAGACATTCAATGCTTTGACAAGGTTAATAGAATATGAGTTTGAGCAAACTCCCAGAGATAGTGAAGGACAGGAAAGCCTGGCGTGCTGCAGTCCATGAGGTTGCAAAGAGTCAGAGAAGACTTAGTGACTGAACAGTAACACCATCAGATCAGAAGGACGTGGAGCCTGGGACGTGGGATATGTCACAAACACAGAAAGAAACCGTTGCATTGTTCGTGGGGAGTGGAAGGGCTGAATCTGAGTTTTCTTCCATGCGTTTCAGAATTGAGCAGCAGTATCAGAATGTCCTGACCCTTTGGCACGAGTCTCACATAAACATGAAGAGTGTGGTCTCCTGGCACTACCTCATCAATGAAATCGACAGAATCCGAGCGAGCAACGTGGCTTCAGTAAGTGCAGATCTGCACATCCACCCAACCTGTCCCAAGATGCGGGCCCTCGTCATGAGGAGTGGCCTTTGTATTTTCCCTTGAGTAGGATGAGGTCCAGCAGATCCATGGTAACAGTCATTTATTCAGTGAATATCTGTTACATGCCTGTTTTATATGAGGTACCTTCTAAGAATTGGGGGATCTGGAAATTCCATACTTCATTCAGGGCTTCTGTTTTCATTGGGAAACATAGTATATAGTGTTTGGGCATATAGACATGGGTGTAGTTTGATTCACTTATTAAGTTTTGTAGTCTTGTTTTCCCTTGTCTTTTAAAACCTAAAGTTGTCAATGAAGAAAAAATTAATTTCCAATGGTTTTCTATTTATGACTATTTAATATAAACTCATATCCCCTGAGAACCACTTGAGATCAGTCCTATTGAAATTTCACCCTTAATACTATAATGGATCATTGGTCTTCTTTAGATAAAAACCATGTTGCCTGGTGAACATCAGCAAGTTCTGAGTAATCTGCAATCCCGTTTTGAAGATTTTCTTGAAGATAGCCAGGAATCCCAAATATTTTCAGGCTCAGATATAACGCAACTGGAAAAGGAGGTTAATGTGTGCAAGCAGTATTATCAAGAACTTCTTAAATCTGCAGAAAGAGGTAAAGCATGGGAATCATTGCCTTTTTTTCCCCATGGGTGTTTAGTCCAGGCTGTTTTCTGTTATCGTTGGGACTCTCAGTCTTAGGTGTATTATGTCACTCAACCTGTAATAGGTAGAAACAGTTACTGAAGCATTAAATGGATGTTTGAGGTAGGAAGATTGAAGAAGGAATTTATTTTTTTCCCAAATGATTATAAGTAGTAAAAAGCTGCCAACCAAGTTGTATGACAGTGAATTCTTAATGCATCTACTTTTAAACATTTTCACTAGTTTGCAATATAATGTTCAGAATGATATTTTAGTTTCAGACAAGTTTCAATTACTTTTTCATATGTCAAACTTGGATTTTTTAAATAATATTTAAAAGAAGAGAAGTTTTAGATTCACAGCAAAATTGAAAGCAAAGGGCAGAGTTTTCCTATAACCAAACCTGGATTTTATTTAGGGGTTGAAGGAAAAGATTTTGTAAATGTGTTTGTTAAATATAAATTCTATTCCAAATTTTTGACATCTGTAAAACTTAGAGACCAAAAAAACTTTAGTAGTAATACTATAATTTTTTTAAACATTATTCTTACAACTAATCTGCTACTAATATATTTCACATTTTTTGTGAAAACAAAACAAACCAATGTATTACTTTTCCTCAGACATCTCAAGTCAGATGTTGGTACTTTAAGTGGCATTAGGGAAATTGTATTAACTCTTTGTAAATTGTAAGGTCCACAATTTCAAGGTTTACATCCTTGGTGTGGGTTTGTGGTGATAACTGGGAACATTAGTCTGACTAGCTATGTCTCAGTAATGGTAAAATTGCCTTATTAAATCATGAACAGGCACATCCAAACAACAGAAAATGAGGTATTTTCTAAACATTATGTTTACTCTCACAGAGGAGCAAGAGGAATCGGCTTACAACCTCTACATCTCTGAAGTTCGAAACCTCAGGCTTCGGCTGGAGAGCTGCGAAGACCGTCTCATCAGACAGATCCGCACCCCGCTGGAGAGAGACGACCTGCATGAGAGCGTGTTCAGGATCTCGGAGCAGGAGGTGAGGCTGCGAGCGCGTGGGCCGAGGCCAGCGCAGATGGGGTCTCGCTGACCTTCACCGCCGACCCTGCGGCCTCTCATGCGCGCTGCCCGGGCCACCCTGTGAGCTCTGACCGTGCTCACGGCTGGCTGCGGACAGGCACCGTGGTTCAGCTCTGCCGCTCGCTGGGTGAATGCGGAGCACTGCACCCTCGCCCTTTACATGGCGGCTGCAGGGCCGCTCCGCCTGGCGCTTGGTGACGCACAGGTGTTGGGCCCGAGGGCTGTGCGGTGAAGGAGCGACGGAGGGTAAGACTGGACTGCCTCGGCCTCATTTCTTTGCTAAAGAAAAAATAAAAGTCAGTTCGAGATGATCATAAGAGGTGAAGTAAGTCAGGAAGAGAAAAGACAGATACCATATGGTATCGCTTATGTGTGGAATCCAAAACAGGACATAGATGAACTTATCTAGGAAACAGACAGCATCCCAGATGTAGAGAATGGACTTGTGGTTGTCCGGGGGCGGTGGGGGGGAGATGGAAGAGGAGTTCTGGATTAGCAAACGCAAACGTAAGATGTAGACAGTGGATAAACAGCAGGGTCCTGCTGGACAGCACAGGGAACTGTGTTCAACGTCCTGTGATAAACCGTAATGGCGAAGAACATGAAAAAAGAATGTGTATATGTGACCGAGTCACTTTGGAGTACAGCATAAATGAACATGACATTGTAAATCAACTATGCTGCAGTTTAGAAAAAGAATATGTATTTACCTCAAGAGTAATAATGGGAAATGTGTGTTTTTGAAGTGTTTGAAGAAAGAGGCCCTGTCTGATCCTCATGTTTGTTCTTTGTCGTGTAGAAACTAAAGAAAGAACTGGAGCGACTTAAAGATGATTTGGCCACGATCACAAGTAAATGTGAAGACTTTTTCAGTCAAGCAGCTGCCTCTGCCTCCACACCTGTCTTGCGGTCTGAGCTCAGCGTGGTCGTCCAGAGCATGAACCACGTCTATTCCATGTCGTCCACCTACATAGAGAAGTACGGAACCACTGCCTTGATAGAAATTATCCAAGCTGACTTCATACAGCTGCCATTTATATACAGAAGCTGTTTAGCTAAAAATGTAGATTTTTAAGAATATAAAAAATTTTTATTTTCTTTTCTTCATTTATTTTTATTTTTAGCTGTGCTAGTTGGTGCTAGTGGTAAAGAACCCACCTGCCAATGCAGGAGATAAGAGATGTGGGTTCGATCCCTGGGTTGGGAAGATCCCCTGGAGGTGGGCGTGCAACCCACTCCAGTATTCTTGCCTGGAGAATCCCATGGACAGAGGAGCCTGGTGGTCTACGGTCCATAGGGTCGTAAAGAGTCAGACACGACTAAGTGACTTAGCGTGCACGCATCGATTTGCCTTCTGCATGTGGGCTTTCTCTAGGTCAGCCGGTGGAGGCTACTCTTTGTTGTGGTGTGTGGGTTTCTTGCTGCGGTGGCTTCTCTTGTTGGGGAGCACAGACTCTAGGCACGTGGGCATCGCTAGTTGTGGCTCCTCCTGTTGGGGAGCACAGACTCTAGGCACATGGGCATCGCTAGTTGTGGCTCCTCCTGTTGGGGAGCACAGACTCTAGGCGAGTGGGCATTGCTAGTTGTGGCTCCTCCTGTTGGGGAGCACAGACTATGCACGTGGGCATTGCTAGTTGTGGCTCCCCGTCTTCCTGGACCAGGGATCAAGCCCGTATCCCCTGCATTGGCAGGTGGGTTCTTAACCCATTGTACCACCAGCGAAATCCCTCAGATTTTTTTTCTTAGTAACAAATATGCTAAATATTTCTGTGGAATTATGATGCTTCTTCATGCTGAAAGGGAATGAGCTTCAGAGATAAAAACATCAGTGATCTTCCCCCATGTTCCCTGTAGTTTTGTTAGCTCAGCTGTTATGGTCTGTTGAACTTGCCTTCCAGTCTTGGTCTAAATTAGGTTTGAAAGAAGCCTCTCTTCTGTTGGAATCTTCTGCTAAAGACAACTTGGGGGCACAATGTGGATTCTATTAGATAGTTTAGTGGGATGTTAATCTTTTGAAAAATTTTTATTGAAATATAGTTGATTTACAAGGTTGTGTTAATTTCTGCTATACAGCAAAGTGATTGTTTTATATATATATATATATATATATATATATATATATATATATATATTTCTATGTTCTTTTCCATTATAGTTTATTATAGCGTATTGAATACAGTTCCCTGTGCTTACAATAGGACCTTGTTGTCCATCCATCCTGTAGTGATAGCTTGCATCCACTGACCTGACTCCCACTCCACCCTTCTCCTGGCCCCCCGCCCCCCTCACCACAGATCTGTTTTCTATGTCTGTGAATCAATTTCTGTTTCACAGATAAGTTCCTTGGGGTCATATTTTAGATTTCACATATAGGCCATACCATGTGGCATTTGTCTTTCTCTTTCTGGCTTACTTAGCGGGATGTGAACCTTGTAATAAAAAACTGTCATTGTGCTGGCATGAGTAGCACACTGCATCACACAGCCTCATGCTGCATCAAGACTATATTGTGGGAAAATAAACTTAACAGAAGGGATGTTGTTTAATTGTCTTTTTCAGGTTGAAAACGGTCAACTTGGTGTTAAAAAACACTCAAGCTGCAGAAGCTCTTGTAAAACTCTATGAAACTAAATTGTGTGAAGAGGAAGCTGTTATAGCTGACAAGAATAACATTGAGAATCTAATAAGTACTTTAAAGGTATGGATCTCATTGCTGGCTTTCTTTTTAAGACTGTGCTCTAAAACTTCTCTAAAACTGTGCTCTAAAGTTTCTCTAGAACTTGGCTCAAGTCTTCAGACATCAAGCATTAAATATCTGAACTTGAATACCTCTCTGTGCATTCCATATCTTCTCTCTGTAACACTATGACTTACTATAAATGAGTATGTTGATTCATTTTTAGTTTGAGATGAGTTCTTTTCACTTGAAGTTTTTATCTTTTTTGACAGTAGATTTTTATACTCTGTTCATGTTGGCAGCAAGAGGAGTTAAAACTTAAAGGTAAATTGTTTGTAATCAGATGCCCTTGGAGAAAGAGGCAGTTACTTTAAGAAATTAAAGAGGTGAATAGACTAGTTAATCTAAGAAGGAAAAGGACTAATAGTTGTATGTTTCTGTCCTTCCACTTATAAAGCCCTGAGTAAAGATACTGTAAACAGTTGTGAAAAGTTGTTTCAGTGATTTTTAATGCACAGGTTCATTTTTAAACAGTGGGATCAGTAGATATTTAAAAAATAAACAATGAAAAAGACTTACTGAGGTGGCAGACTTGCTTATGGAATATGTTTTATTTTATTGGTGTGCAGAATCTATTAGGCTGAACTTTATATATAATATTGTTTTTTTTAGGTCAAAGTATAGCCATATATGACAATTTTATAAGGTTCAACCTAATGTAATATTTTGTATACGAAATATATTCTTTCTATTGTCTGATTTTATGTCAGTCATTTGTAAATGAGTTGTAAAATTAGGTAAATTAAGTGTTTACCTGGTGAGCACCTTACCCATTTTTATAACTTTGTAAATTGTTCCATTTTAGCAATGGAGATCTGAAGTGGATGAAAAGAGAGAGGTCTTCCATGAGCTGGAGGATGAGCTGCAGAGAGCAAAGACCATCAGTGATGAGATGTTTAAAACCTACAAAGAGCGTGACCTTGACTTTGACTGGCACAAAGAAAAAGCAGATCAGTTGGTTGAGAGATGGCAGAATGTTCATGTTCAGATTGACAACAGGTTAACTGGCCTTTTCATTCCATTTTAGCTCAGATTTAATCTCTATATTCTGGGTAAAGTCTAAATGTATTAGGCTTTTTACCCCCATATGTAATTCATTCCATAGAACAGTTACTTGTGTTAATTGCAAGAGCTGGGTCTAATTACATTTCTTTTTTATAGGATGGCCTTGAGCAAGATACTTAACTTCCAAATGAGTACTTTTTGGTTTTGTATTATTACAATTATTGATGTAGTTTTGCATTTATATTGTTATCCTACTTGCATTTTCTGAAGGAAAAAACAATGCAGTTCTCTAGTTATTGCAAAGTGATAACATCCAAATAACCATGACTTAGTAATAGGAGCATGGATCATGCATTTCCTAGGGCCAGATGCAGCGTCTATAGTAGGCAAGAAGGGTAAAAGAAACTGAAATGGCCTGATGTTCATTCTAGCCAGAGGTAAAAAGAAAGTCAAGATCATTTGCCCAGTGACTGATATAAAGAAGTGAAAGGAAATGGGATAGTTTTGGGGATGAAATGGAATAGTGTTCTTTCTCACTCATTTTTTATGTTTTTATTTATGCAGCTAAAATGCTGTTATAATATAGTGCCATGTGTGACAAATAAGTTATTTTTAAAAACATAGTAGCTAATCTCTAAAATATGTCATCTGTAGGTTTAATGTAGTGGTTTTACAGTCATAGAAACCGGGTGTTCAATTGCAGCTCCTGAAGAGTATTCTCTGAGTTCATGTTGAACTGTTCATTGCAACCAGGTCATGATTTCAGAAGTGAAACTGCCATTGCTGCAAGCTTTGGGTCTTTAAGATCTGTTGATTGATGATTACTCTAGTTAAGTTTCCAATTTTCCTGCTTTTTAGCTTCAGTCTCTTGGATTTGCCCCTAGAACAATCAGTACTAATAAACTGCACAAGTCCTAGAGAAAAGTAATATATATTCAACCCACAGCAGGGCAGGGGTGGAAATTGGCCTAGGGTGCTTCCGCCTTGAATTTTGGACACTCCCCTGTGGTTGCACTTGGGACAGTTAGTTTGTCCATCCCTTCTTTTCTACACGTTCCAACTTCCTGTTGTTGCTCTTGAAAACTGTGACTATTCTGTTGTCATCCTCTTAGGTTACGGGACTTGGAAGGCATTGGCAAGTCACTGAAGTACTACAGAGATACGTATCACCCGTTGGATGATTGGATCCAGCAAGTTGAAACTACTCAGAGGAAGATTCAAGAAAATCAGCCTGAAAATAGTAAAACTCTGGCGACACAATTGAATCAACAGAAGGTGTGCAAACAGTTCCTTGTGGTTGTGTCTGCATTTAGTCACTCATGACCTTGACCTTCCTTTCTCTTGTTAAGATAGTAGGTCAGCAACTATTTCAAGGAAGACAGGGAATAAATCATAAATGTTAAAAATTTGCACTCAGACCTACATGCATTACTTTTTTGATTTATTGGAGGTCAGTTTTGAAACCATAAGGAATAAGTAAGTTTCATGTTGGGACACTTCCAGTCCCAACATGATCACTGAGGTTAGATTAGGACCCTGCATTTTAAAAAATGGTTGTAGAAAATTAAACAGCCGCATTTGACCGAGTTAAATGCTTTGAGATTTTTGTTCCATCTTGAGGGGCCAGTAATTTCTAGCTCTCTTTAGGTCAAAATTAGGATTAAGGAGCAAAGGGTTTCAAGCCTACTTGTGGATAATTCCCACGGAGTTTAGTGATTTCTGCTTTGGAAGCTGCGTAAGGGGGTGTCACTGAGTGGCTTGAACTTGAATGCTTGAACGTCACCCATGAGGCAGATGACATTAAGTGCAGTGGGACAGAGGGAATTCCCTGGCAGTCAGTGGTTAGGAGTCTCTGCTTTCATTGCCGAGGACACAGGTTCAATCCCTGGTGTGGGAACTAAGATCCCACAAGCCAAGCGGTGCAGCCAGGTAAATTAATTGATTAATAAAGACTGTGCTTAAAAGAAAAGTAAAATAGGGTAGAGAGCTGTAGTCTTAAGTGATGTCGGCATTTCTTAGTGCCTGAGATCTCACGTTGTTGGACAGCATAGAATTCCTTGTTGCTTTTCTGCTAACCTGTGTGCCTTTATAGATGCTGGTGTCCGAAATAGAAATGAAACAGAGCAAAATGGACGAGTGTCAGAAGTACGCAGAACAGTACTCCACAGCAGTGAAGGTGAGAAGTCGAGTTCCTTGTGTCAGATTTCATGTTCAGGGGGATGCTTCCACAGTGCTCTTTAGAGCCTTCACAGGTCATTCAATCTGCATTGAAAAGGGAAAACAGAGAATCTTCACTGTCACTTATCTGTTAATTCTTCAAGGAAACCTGAGTCCTGTGACAACCCCTGTTTCTTTCCTTCTCTCTCTGTGTCACACACACACACAGCTTGCCCACACCCTCATGTATACCAGGAGAAAATGTAGCTCTGTCATCTGCCTCTTTCTACTTCGCTTACCCCTTCCTTCCTTGCTGGAATGTTCCATTCAAGTATTGCTGGAACACCCACCATTAGTCTGGCTTAGGGTTCCATGTGAGTATTGCTGCAGTATCCATAGAAGTACTGATGGAGTATCCCTGGAAATATTGCTGGAGTATCCATCTATGCAAATATTGCTGTGATATTCCATGGAAGAACATCTCCCTTAGGGATGGTTCCCATGTGCTCTGAGTCACCCGCCATGTCTCGGCTCTGGCCACCCGGATCTGCATTCGCACTTTTTATCTAGATGGGGAGACTAACAATTGGCACGCTGTTCCTAAATGTGTCCACAGGCTCCTAAAGGGACTTAGGAGCTTTCCTGACCACCCTAAGTGTTTCTGATTTTTATTATCACCTTGGAAACCTCTCAGGATTGGATTGATTCCTGAAAATGTATTTTTGCAATATTTTTTATTTAAAGTTATTCAGTGAAACTGAATTCCCTTTCTCTGCATCAAAGATCACTGTAGAATGAAGCATTAGTGCTTTGCCATGATTAATCTTACTGATTTCTTCATGCAGGACTATGAATTACAAACGATGACCTACCGGGCCATGGTGGATTCACAGCAAAAGTCTCCAGTGAAACGACGGAGACTGCAGAGCTCAGCAGATCTCGTCATTCAAGAGGTGGTAACCGTCCAGAGACAGGGAGCATGCAAAAGAGAGAAGCAGCACTTCAGCAACTTTACATTTACATATTTGTATTATGATGAAATATATGTAGTAGAAAATTCACCATTTTAACCATTTTTACGTGTAGAATTTAGTGACATTCAATACCTTTGTAATGTTGTGCAACCTTGATCACAGTCCAATTCCAGAACAGTCCATCATTCCAAGTAGATGCTATTTACCTGTAACAATACATTTTATTAAGGGTTTTAAAAAAACTCTTTGAAAATCCTCATTCAAGATAAATGAATTGCAGAGAATAATAAATGCCACTCACAGTTAAATTTAGAGGAGGTAGGTCATTACTGTGGTTTGCACAGCAGTGATCTTGCTCCTATGTGGTTATCGTTACTAGCAGTCATGAGCTTCCCTGCCCCAAAGCCTCGTTAATGTTTTCATTATTACTCAGTGTGTGTTCAACTCATTTAGGGCAAATGGAAGTTATGTTTCTATCTTTTTTTTTTTCTTTACTTGTAGTTCATGGACCTGAGGACCCGATACACGGCTCTGGTCACCCTCATGACACAATATATTAAATTTGCTGGGGACTCATTGAAGAGACTGGAGGAGGAGGAGGTAACCACTAATCATGGGCAGGTCACCTGCAAGGAGCCCTGAGGGGCTTTGTGATAAACTCACATGGTTGAGATCTGATGTATAAGTGATTAGTTACAAAATTACAGTGAAAAACACTAGAGGCCTGGGATTTTTTGGTTACTGAGATTCTCTCAAATTGAAAAGCAGTGCAAAAAAAGAAACAACCATTTGGGGAACAACAGAAAAACATTTTTATTTTCTCTCAATATGAGAGGGTTAATGTCATAAATGGCTCTATTTACATTATGGAATGTAGGCAGTTTAGCAGAATTTTTTCCAGTTTTCTTTGAAGTATAGTTACTATTATGATGTCTACAGAAATATTACATAAATTTGTTTTATATCTTTTAATTTACATCTTCAAGGATTTAAAACAGAAACACCATTAAGTTAGAAGTAGCAGGTATTTATACAAAATGACAATGCTTTTAAAGAATTGAGGTGTTTTGTTTTTATTTTTGTCAAAAATATATGGTGCATATTAAAAAGACTGTGCATTTAATAATATATTCAGAAATAGAATAAGGGGTTATTCAGGAAAGTATGTTTTTATAAAAGGCTGTTGTATCTAATTTTGAAGGTATTATGCTGTGCTCTGTTATCTTGATATACTTTCTATTCCTGACCTCAGAACAGACAAAAATAGTAAATTGAATGTTACAATAAGTAAACTGTGGGGCATTGGCCATTTAAATTAGACCACTGTTGAAATTCTGGAGGTGATTGTACTTGGTATAATTCCATTCATATAATGAGAGAACCAAAATGGTAGCAAATGTCTAATAGATGTTGCTTTCTTAGTTTTTAAAAAAAGTGTGACTACTTTTGTAAACTATTTCTGTCTGTTCAGAGTTACTAGCACTAACATAGCTATTTGCAAGTCTTTATAACAAACTTCCTTTGGGCTTAGAAAGGAGAACCAGAGTATTTTCACATCCAAATAATTGGCATAAACTTCTCATCTATGAAAGGTCCACATTTTTTTACATTCTTAGTTTTTAAGAGATATTCCATTTTAAGTCGTAGGCAGATCTTTTAAATTGTATATTTAGTAGTTAAAATAAAATAATTTAAGGCTTTCCTTTCTTACTGTGTAGGTCTGATTGCACACATATGAGCCACTTTGCTCAATTTATCTGATGGGGTAGAGTACCAGAAGTTGATAAACCCAAAAACATATTTCAGAAAGCCTGAAATATATCTAAATTATGCTTGTCATCCTTTGAAATGTTAAAGATTTATATTGAATTGAAAATCAAAATAATATAGTTTATGGAACTCTGAAAGGACTATTATAATTTAAAATAGATTTTTAAATTCTTTATTAAAAATTCACCACTTAAGGGTCTTAATAATGGAGTATCTTATAAAAGATATATAGCTCAATTTTCAGATTCCACAAAGAAGTGTTTCTGAAACTGGATCTCTAAGACCCACATGTGAAATCTTGGTCAGAGAGCAGAATTTTCCATAATAAACATGGAATCAAAGAGGGAGCCATGTTAATTTCAAAGATAATACCAGATTGACTACAGAAATATTAGTAGGATATCTGTAATGGATATTCAGTGGATAAAGAGATTTTTCTAGTCTGTGTTGACTGCAGAATATATTAATTGCTGAGATTAAAAGACAGCATGTCTCCTTGGGAAAAATTTAGATAAAACTTGAAGTTATTTTATGTGAATAAGTTTGAGATACACAAGAAAGCAAATCAGTAATATAACTAAATGATCTCTAGTAATTTTTCTAATCTTTGCTTAAAAAATTATAGTTATCTAGGCAACATGAGATTAACAAGTCACTTAAATGATTCCAAGACACTTAGGGTTTAACTTTTTTTTTTTCCTGAGCGAATTTTCATTTTTTTAAACCTCGGACTATGACCGAGAAAAAAAGGAAGGGACTCAAAACTTCTTCACAACAGCTAAGTCTGAAAGGAAATTTGATGAGAAATTGAGAAAGACCCTTTTAGAAGTTGTCTACTCAAAATATTAATGTATGGAATACTTTTAATGTCTAAGCAGATAAAATGTTTCAGTGTCATTAAGAGTTGACCCTGATAATAAACAGAGCACTAAATATTACAGACTGTGATGAGATTTGTTTTTATATGAATTCTTATTAAAAATGATATTTAGGTTAGCAAAGGAAACAACCAAAATTCTCATCAAAATTATTGGTAATCATGTAATGAGAGGATGCAAAATAAGATGTGGTCTGTAATACAAATTAAATTCTTAAGATTTACTAAGGCTTTTCAATGAAAATAAAACCTGCTATTTAGAATAATTTCCCTCCTTCTAAGTTACTTCTAACTATGATGATTTTTAGCTGATAATACAATGCTAATAAGCTTATGATATTAATAAAGAGAACTTAAATTGTGATTATAAACTAGCTGTGATCACATTGTTCTATAGTCAAATGTATTCCTCCCAGCTGAGATCGATTCTGTATTCAATAGAGTGAACAAATTTTCTTAATTGGAGCTGAATTCCTAAGTAAACTTATATAAGCGTTTATATTTAACACATATCTTTATGTTTGTGAAGCATCTGAAGGTACTTGTCAAGGTGGATTCATATGGGCCATGTCATTAATGACAGCAACAAAGCCTGTGAGTACATGAAGCACGTCTTTTCTAAAGCCACCATGACTGTGGCTGCCTTTGCATTAGCAATTCTGATTATTGTAAGTATCATAGTAGGGCAGATATAAATTAGTGAGGAATTAGATTGTAGGCAATGACAAATTTTTATATAATTTCCTCCTTCCTCCTGTTAAGTGTTATTTCCTCAGTTGGCTCTTTGTTCCAGAGTTTTATATCTTCTTTCTCTTAGATATCATTTTTTAATTTCTTTTGGGTTAGAAACTGAAGACTGAATTCTCTAATGTCGTTCAGTTCCTATATGTTGTATGTTCTTAGCTCGTAGGACTAGGTTGTGTGTGAGTGAAAGAGGACTGCTGTGAGAATTGTGGTTCCTACTTTGTCATCCGCCTGTTTTGCATGAGTTTTCAAAATTATTGACATTTTCTAGACCTCAGTGTCCGCATCTGAGCTGAGAGTCAGGCTGTAAGGTTCCTTCTTGCTGTAAAATCCTGAGCTAGCAAATTTTAAAAGCAAAATTATTGCTGAGAGGCAAAAAAAAAAAAAAAAGATTCCTTGCCTAAGAAAAGGGTGTGTGGTTTTCCGCACTGCTGACTTCCTGAAGCTCCTTCTCTGGTGGCGGTGGCGGTGGCGGTGGCGGTGGCGGGGCTCCGGCTGCCTTCGGTCCCCCTCCCCGGTGTCGGCCCTTTGACGAGCGCGGCTCCGGACGCCTGCAGACGGGCTGGGGCGGCGCGGGTCTGACCCTTCTGAACGTCTCTCGTAGATGCAGAGGCGTCAGGAGGCTTCTGAGCAAGGGGTGTACTCAGACCTGCTCCAGCGGCAGGAGGCAACCGCGCGGGAGAACCGCCAACTCGCGGGGAAGATCACGGAGCTGGAGAGGGCGCTGGCCGAGCTCGAGAGGCAGAAGTCCCGGGCCGAGCAGGAGCTCCCGAGAGTCCGGGAGGCCGCGGAGGATGCGCTGAGGAGGCAGCGCAAGGACGCGGCGGACATCGCGCTGCAGAAGGTGCGCGCGGAGAGCGAGGCCCAGCGCTACCGCCAGGAGCTGCAGGCCGTGGAGCGCGACCTGCGCGGCTTCCGCGAGCAGCTGGCGGAGCACAGCGCCACCCAGAGGGCGCTGGAGGAGCGCCTGACCAGGAAGGACTGCAGCCTCCAGGAGCTCGAGCGCCAGAGGGGCGAGCTCATGGCGGAGCTGAGGAGGAAGAAGGCCCACGAAGCCGACCTCCTGGAGCTGATGGAGCGGATGGAAAAAGACCTCACGTTCCAGAAGCAGGCGGCAGGGAAGCAGCTGGAGGAAAAGCAGAAAGTCGATTCGGAAGCCAGAAGACCAGTAACAGAAATGCAGCATCTGTGCAGAGAAAGCGCGCGCCCAGCTTGTCCGAGCGCCGAGGCCAAAGACTTGAAGCAGCAGGTGGACGAGCTGATGGCGGCCAACAGGAGGGCTGAGCAGGACGTGAGGGAGCTGAAGTGTGAACTCGGCGCCCTGCAGCTGGAGAAGACCTCGGAGGAGGAGAAGGCCCGCTCGCTCAAAGAGAAACTGGAGGAGACCAACAGGGCCCTGAGGGGCCTGAAGCTGGAACTGGAAAGGAAGGACCGGGCCGAGGAGGGGTATTCACGGCAGCTCCAGGAGCTGGGCAGGCAGCTGAGCCAGACCTCGGGGAGGGCGGCCGAGGTCAGGCAGCAGGCCGCCGACCTCACGAGGATGAAGCACAGCTACGAGCTGGAACTGGAGTCGCTGCAGCAGGAGCAGGGCAAGCTCCAGAGGGAGGGGGACCGGATCACCAGGACGCAGGCTGCCGCCGAGAGGAGCATGCAGCATCTAAACGCACAGGCTGCTTCTCCGCAGGATGGCGAGGCGTCTTCTAGCGAAAGAGCTCGGTTCTGCCAGAGAACGTCAGATCACCTGAAAGAGCAGTTTGAGAAAAGTCACTCGCAGTTGCTTCAGAATATTCAAGCCGAAAAGGAGAATAATGAGAAAATCCAAAAGCTGAAGGAGGAATTGGAGAGAAGTAATGAGCGTGCGGACAAGCTAAGGCACAAGGTGGAAGAGCTCACCAGGCAGAATAGCGAAACCAGGTTAACAATGCAGAGAATTCAGGCCGAGTCGGCAGACGTGGTCTTAGAGAAACAGGCCATCCAGCAGAGATGCGAGACGCTGAAACTCCAGGCGGATAGTTTCAAAGACCAGCTCCGCACGACCAACGAGCACTTGCACAAACAGACCAAAACGGAACAGGATTTCCAAAGGAGAATCAAGTGCCTGGAAGAAGACCTGGCCCAGAGTCAGCATTTAGTGAGTGAATTCAAGCAGAAGTGTGACCAGCAAGACCGCATCATCCAGAACACAGAGAAGGAGGTGCGAAGTCTGAGCGCGGAGCTGAGCGCGTCCAAAGAGGAGAAGCGCCTCGGGGAGCAGACGGTGCAGATGCAGCGGGCGCAGGTGCAGGACCTGAACAACAGGCTGAAGAAGGTGCAAGACGAACTGCACTTAAAGACCCTAGAGGAGCAGGTGACGCACAGGAAGATGGTTCTGTTTCAGGAAGAGTCTGAGAAATTCAAGCGTTCTGCAGAGGAGTTTCGGAAGAAGATGGAAAAATTGATGGACTCCAAAGATATCACCGAGCGCGATATTTCGGGCATCCAGCTGGACTTTGTGTCTCTGCAGCGGGAAAACAGCAGGGCTCAAGAGAACGCCAGGCTCTGTGAGACAAACATCCGAGAACTTGAGAGGCAGCTCCAGCAGTATCGCCAGCAGATGCACCAAGGGCAGGATGGGCAGTCTCATCACTACCAGAAGTGTCGGAAGCTTGAGGATGAGCTGGTGGCCCAGAAGCAGGAGGTGGAAAACTTGAAGCAGAAGATGGACCAGCAGATAAAGGAGCATGAGCATCAGTTAGTGGTGCTCCAGTGTGAAATCCAGAAAAAGAACACAGCTATCAAGCCAGACCCTGAGATGGCAGGGAAAGAGGGTCCGGGCCCCGGGGACCTCCCCTCCACTCTCCCCAGGGCTGGGGCCCCCTTGCAGAGGTGGACTCAGGAACCACAGCGGTCAGAGGAAAGATGGCAGCATTGGGGTGAGGAGCGTGTGCAGAAGGAGGTCCAGGGCAGGCCATCAGGGGCTCCAGTTGAGAAAGAGAAAACCCAGCAGTGCTACTCTGAGTACTTTTCTCAAACAAGCACCGAGTTACAGATAACTTTTGATGAGACGAACCCCATTGCAAGACTGTCAGAAATTGAGAAGCTAAGAGATCAAGCTCTGTATAATTCCAGACCCGCCATCAGGTGTCAAGATGACAAGTGTGAAATAGACCTGGTGACGCTTCTGGCGCCCTTTGAGGTATTCCCTGGGTTCTGGGACCTTACCAGTTACCCTCTGTCAAGTTTTCGCTCTTGTTTCCTTTCTCTGCTAGGCTGTATTTTCTTAGCCATGTTGAATGTGATTGGTTCTTTGTAGTTCCGACAGAAAATCACGCTATCATTTTCTAGTGATTTACCTGAATCTTTATTACAAACCGTAGTCTTTAGTTTTTAAGTGCTTGAGATGAAAAACACAGATGGCATGGCTATCCTGTTGGTATCAACAGGATTCTATTCTGAAAAATTTGACCCTAAAGAAAACCAGAAAAAGCAAGCAGTTTTAACTTCTAACACATTTTGTGGACAGGTTTCATCTTCCGTCTTTTTCAGATATAGTCATCTAAAGTTTAAACTTCAGACTCTCAAAATAGCATTCCTTATTCCTGAACCCTCTGGGGCTTAACAGTTTTCTTCTCTTATGTCATCTTTGTTATTATAGGAATTATATTTGGATTAGGAGTGGGTAATGTGAGAATGTTCTTTAGATGACTTTTAACATCTTGTAAATTCCCATTACAGATAGCTAAGAGCAAGCAGTGTGCTATGCGTGCGGATGTCACAGCATTAAAGCAAGAGAAGAGTCCAGTCCTTGGCAGTGAAGAATGGATGCTCGAGGGGTGCAGGGCAGCGGGTGGGCTCAAGAGAGATTTTCTAAACAAAAGCTCAGAACCAGAGACCTTTCAGAATTTTGATGGCGATCACACATGCTCGGTCAGGGATGATGAGTTTCAGTTCCAAGGGCTCCGGCACACCGTGACGGCCAGGCAGTTGGTTGAGGCTAAGCTTCTGGACATGAAAACAATTGAGCAGCTGCGACTTGGTCTTAAGACCATTGAAGAAGTTCAGAAAACTCTGAGCAAGTTTTTGACAAAAGCCACTTCCATCGCAGGGCTTTACCTAGAATCCACAAAAGAAAAGATTTCCTTTTCCTCAGCTGCCAAGAAAATCATCATTGACAAGATGATGGCTTTAGCGTTTTTAGAAGCTCAGGCGGCCACAGGTTTCATAATTGACCCCCTTTCAGGGCAGACCTTTTCTGTTGAGGATGCAGTCCTTAAAGGTGTGGTGGACCCTGAATTTAAAATCAGGCTCTTTGAGGCAGAGAAGGCAGCCCTGGGCTATCCGTGCTCCTCTAAGATGCTGTCAGTGTTTCAGGCCATGGAAAATAGAATGGTTGACAGACAGAGGGGCAAACATATATTGGAGGTGCAGATCGCCAGTGGGGGTGTCATCGACCCCACAAGGGGCATTCGGGTTCCCCCAGAAATTGCCCTGCAGCAAGGACTGCTAAATAACGCCATCCTGCAGTTTTTACATGAGCCTTCCAGCAATAGCCGTGTCTTCCCTAATCCCAATAACAAGCAAGCCCTGTATTACTCGGAATTACTGCGCATGTGTGTCTTTGATGTAGACAGCCAGTGCTTTCTGTTTCCATTTGGCGAGAAGAACATTTCCAATCTCAACGTCTCAAAAACTCACAGGATTGCTGTTGTAGATACTAGGACAGGAGCAGAGCTGACTGCTTATGAGGCTTTCCAGAGAACCCTGATTGAGAAGAGTACATACCTGGAGCTCTCGGGGCAGCAGTATCAGTGGAAGGAAGCCACGTTTTATGAGTCCTATGGGCAGCCCTGTCGCATGCTGACTGATGCTAAGACCGGATTACAGTTCAGTATCAGCGAGGCCATAGAGCAGGGAACTATTGACAAAGCCGCCATCAAAAAGTATCAGGAAGGCCTCCTCACACTCACAGAACTTGCGGATTCCTTGCTGAGCCGGTTGGTCCCCAAGAAGGATGTGCACAGTCCGATTGCGGGGTACTGGCTGACGTCCAGCGGGGAGAGGATCTCTGTGCTGAAGGCCTCCCGTCGGAATCTGGTTGATCGGATCACTGCCCTCCGATGCCTTGAAGCCCAAGTCAGCACTGGGGGCATCATCGACCCGCTGACTGGCAAGAGGTACCGGGTGGCCGAGGCCCTGCACAGAGGCCTGGTGGACGAGGGCTTTGCCCAGCAGCTGCGGCAGTGCGAGCTAGTGGTCACGGGGGTCAGCCACCCTGTCACCAGCAAGGTGATGTCCGTGGTGGAAACTGTGGGTGCAAACATCATCAGTAAGGACATGGGAATCCGATGTCTGGAATTTCAGTACCTGACTGGGGGGCTGATGGAGCCCCAGGCTCAGTCCCGCTTGTCCATTGAAGAAGCTCTGCAAGTAGGGATTATAGATGTCTTCATTGCTACGAAGCTCAAAGATCAAAAGTCCTATGTCAGAAACATCCTCTGTCCCCAAACGAAAAGAAAGCTGACGTACAAAGAAGCCTTAGAAAAAGCCGATTTTGATTTCCACACAGGACTTAAACTCCTAGAAGTATCTGAACCCTTGATGACAGGAATTTCCAGCCTCTATTATTCTTCATAACAGGGCATGTTCACATAAGCAGGCATATGAGAGATGCTGTGTTAGTTCACGTTGCTGTGCCCACAGCTTGATGATAAGATCCACACCCTAGTCACTGTGTCACACGCTGGAAGCACCATCAGTTTCTTGAGGGCTGGAAACACTGACTGCTCAGAAGAGAGAATACTTTTCATTTATAAATTTATTTTTAAATAAAGTTTTATTGGAATGCAGACACACTCTTGTGTACATACTGTCTTTGGCTTACTTTTGGGCACAAGGACAGAGTTGGGTGGTTCTGACAGTGACCATATGGCTCCCAGAGCCTGAAATACTTGTTCTCTGGGCCTTTATACAACACAGTTGCTGTCTCCTGACCTGGAAGAAATTTGCATCATTCCTCTAGACTAAAAGTCAGGTTACTTGGAGTTTAGACTCCAATCTGCCCAAGAGAGAATATGTTTAAAATTGAAAATAACAAAAGATTTACTGCTCTTCATAATGGTTCCATTTAGCTTTGAGATTCGATTTTTGAACACCTACCCACAGTAAAATAAAAGTATTTTACCTGAAATATGAGACAAGCTTGAGAAACATCAGTGAGTTTACAGCATCCTTACTTCAGAATTCTGCATCCCCGATGGGACCCAGCCTGCTCTCAGGGTTCCCATTTGTTCAAGGATTCATTACACTTACCGAAAGAGCACTTCAAAAGCACCATGAAATCAAAGGAGAAATGTGTATTTGTTCCCATATCCGTGAAGCTGTGGTGGTTCAGATCACCTTGAAAAATGCACGTTTTAAGTTTTTCTGTATGTTGTAGTCTACTTTACATATAATATATTTACCACCATCTCCCATTTCTAGTTACAGCTTTGTAATTAAAAGCAGCATTGTGAGTGGTTTACCTGCTGCAGGAGGGGGAAGGTTTTTCTTAGTTCTGTGTATTTTTTTGTCTTTTGTAGACTTTATTCTTTCAGCTTGCCATTGTCTTAGATTTTTCTGTCTAGAGAATTCTGATTGTAATGCTAATGCAAAGGCAGCGATTCAAAGAGCTTCGAGTGCTTCGTGAATAAAATTGAGGTTTTGAATATGTCATGTTAATAGACCAGCTGGGAGTTTAGATTGATCATTCAAGAGTGTTTGTCACAGCTTGCTTTGCTACTGTAAACATTTTGGAAGTACATCTGCCACGTGATGTGTTGAATGTGGTTTAAGTGAATGAATAAAATATCTCAGTAACCTGTGTGTGATGAAAAAAATATTTTTACATCCTTGTTTTCTGAGAAGTGATTAATAGATTGGTCATTTACTGGAATATATCTTTTTTTTTTTAATCACTCACACCTGTCAGAAGTCACTGGAAGAAGAAAAGAAAGAGCATGTTGAAAAAGCCAAAGAATTACAAAAATGGGTATCAAATATCAGCAAGACATTGAGAGATGGAGAGAAGGCTGGAAAGTCTTCCTTTTCTAAGCAAAAGGTATTCACCGAGATCCTGGTTTAATAATAATTACAATGATAAGAATTTACTGAATCGATACAGTCTATCTAAAAAATACTTTTAATTCTTTAGTTTTCCCCGTTTCTTTGGGCAACTATAATGAAGATCAGAGAGGTTCAGTAACTTGCCCAAGGAATCACAGTATGTGGCAGAAGAAGCTGTCTCTGCCCTAGATTCTGAACTGTATCAATACTAATCTCACTATTAGTCTGCCAGTATGTGGTCCTGGTCCTCCTCACAGTGAGCTCTGCTTCTTGGTCGTTTTGATTAGCACTGCTGGAGAGTAGCATCACTCTTTTTTTATGCCATGAGTACATCCACACACTCTTGTGTCATAAAGAGATGCAGGTTCCTTTTTACAATGTTTCAAGTAAACTTCTTGAACAACAAGTTTCAAGAACAAAACACAAACCAAGATGACAACATGTGAAGCTTGAAATCAGTTGTGCTTTTCTGGATCTTTTTTATTTCCTAAAGAAAACAACTTCTGCCCTCCACCAGGAATTCTAGGTTCTTTCCCTCTCCTAATGAAGCCTTCAGTTCTGTGGGCTAAACTTGTCTCCTTGGCATTGGTTGAATGGCTACATCTTGTGAGATGTTACTGCTCCGAGGTGTCCATTGGAATACCCCACCTGATGCTCCTAGGGCACTGGGTTAAATTAAGTGGGGTTACCGTTGCTGGTGATAGCACTGGAATTGCAGATTTATTTTGAAAAATAAACCTCTGCTAAGTTAAGCATTTTTTTGGGGGTACGTTTCCTACAGTGCCCTCCTGACCTGTGGCAATCACAGAGGTGCTCAGTAGCTTTTTACCTTTGAGCTCTGCATCAACACACACTTGTCATCACTTGAAACAGACATTATTGGCATAATCTAATAGTGGAGAACTTCAGTATCTTGTCACATTTCACCTGTGGTGCAAGGCAGGTGTGCCGTCTCTGAGGTTCCCCCGGGAGGGGTTTATAGACCTGAGTATTTGCTTGAATTCTCATTCATTTGAAATCAAGCCAGCTTAGCTCATAGTCTAGCAAACTGCATTTTATAGAGTGTGGAGGAAATAAGTTGGAAAACACAATTACACTGAGTATTTTAAACCTAAAGCCTTCAAAGTGAATGTGAATATTTAGTTTAAAACATCTTAATTTCCCCCCTGTTAAATAGGATAGGAATTAAAATAGGGACACAGACCTTAGCAAGGATTTCTTTGTGGAGAACAGGTTTCTTCTGAGGAATGTGGTTTGTAAACCCTTGGTATGTCCTCATTCTGTGGTTATGAGTGCTCCAGAATTTTATAATCAGTTTCAGGTTTCCACCTGGCAGACATAAGAATAGATACTTTTCCAGCGCAGATTGTGGCCTCAGTTACAAATCTTAAATTACTCTTGGTCTCTCTATTAAAGGAAATTTCAGGTAATTTGATGGCAATAATAAGTGTCTTTCAAAAAATTAGTATGGCCTCATGCTTTCCTATTGGAGAAGGCAATGGCACCCCACTCCAGCACTCTTGCCTGGAAAATCCCATGGACAGAGGAGCCTGGTGGGCTGCAGTCCATGGGGTTACAAAGAGTCGGACATGACTGAGCAATTTCACTTTCACTTTTCACTTTCATGCACTGGAGAATGAAATGGCAACCCACTCCAGTGTTCTTGCCTAGAGAATCCCAGGGATGGGGGAGCCTGGTGGGCTGCCATCTTTGGGGTCGCACAGAGTCGGACACGACTGAAGTGACTTGGCAGCAGCAGAATGCTTTCCTATAACCACAAAAAATAGACTTTAAATTGCTTCTCAATAGAATATGTCTGGGGAATATATACCTTTTCATTGTCCCATCACTTAAAAAATGGTAATTGCTTTCTGATGTTGTTTAGTCACTAAGTGGTATCCGACTCTTCTGCCATCCCGCTTGTCCATGGGATTTAGGGCTTCAGAAATGTTACACTTCTGAATTAGGAGAAAGTAATACAAGGGCTTGCTTTTCCCAAACTGGTCAGTTTAATTTCTCTGACTATCACTGGCGACTTTCGCAAGCAAATGTCTTAATAATAGGAATTATTTAACCTCGTTCTGCAGACCTAGAGAGAAATACTTCCACCGTGTTTTTTCCCAAAGGAGCGCTGTGAGGATGGTGATGTCTAGTGCTGAGCATCTGTGCCTCCTTCATTTCGTGGTTGGGCTGGGATGGATGCAAGAATCTTACCATGTTGTATTATTATTTCCTTGTGGAAATAATGGCCTTAGGATTAGAGGGAGGGGCTTCATTCATTGTGCATTCTCAATGAAGCATTCATCTTATCCAGACCTGCAGACTGGGAATAACTCATGCCATTGACTCAGGTCACCTGAAAATAGACCCATCGTGTGGGTGTTGATGGAAACTTGGATCAGTTTTTTTAAAAGACTGTTATCTAGCGTTTGTGAAGGAAGAGCCTGAGTGTGCTTTCTTTACCTTGCAGATTTCCAGTGAGGAAATTTCAATCAAGAAGGAACAGTTATCGGAAGCACTACAAGGCATGCAGCTCTTTCTGGCTAAACATGGAGACAAGTATGTTGGTTTTAATTAGGTCTTTTATTCAAAGTATCGAAGTGGTCTTCAAAATGCTCAGCAAAGTAGAGGATGTTAAATTTTAGTGGAGGGTTTAAAAATGGAACTCAGTCACAAGTTTAGTTAATAACCTATGATTATAAAGTGATTTAATTGTCTCTTTTCTTGACTCTCAGTCTTTACCAAAATTCTGAAATATACTTATTGTCTCCATATATTGCTGATAAGAAAAACAGACTCAGCGTTAAGGATCAATTGCTAGTTAGTTGTAAAGATTCCAAGCCAAGTCCTGATTCTAAGTAGTACTTAGTCTCCAAGACCTGCCTTTTGGAAAATATGTATAAATGTGTTCTTTATTTCCTTAGCTGAAACCTTTGGCAACGAGATTTCTAATGGTTTGGTCCTTGCTTTGAGGCTCTTCATCTATTTTAGCCTCAGGAAGGGATGGAATCTACCCTTTTCTTAAACCCTTTTTTGCTGTCTTCAGAATTAATCTAGAATGATTTTGTACCTTAGCGAATGGGTTAATTTCCTTGTAAATTTCATTTTTATTCATCTTTCTGCTTGAACAAGTTTCCTCTTGAGTCATGGCACATTACTTGTCCCTTTTCCATGTTGGAACTAACAATGGAATCTTTCCCTCTGTTAGATAACAGCAATTGTTGTTTTAGAAACTTGCATATGCTAGAGAGATACTGATATATTAGTCTATACTCTTTCCTTTGGTCCTTTGTAAAGGCCATCCTTAATTTACATATATAGCCACTCTAGACCTCAGCCATCTGTGTATGAGATTATGTTAATTTTTATTGTATTATAGTATTGATATAGTATTGATTTTTTACATTATATTTTATGAGGCAATACTAATTTAGAGAAATATTTTTCTTTATAAAATCATTGCACCTGCTGTGTCATAGTTATCACTTGAAGACTTATATTCTTCATTTCCTACTTTCTGGTTATTTTAGAATGACAGATGAAGAAAGAAATGAATTGGAAAAACAAGTGAAAACTCTCCAAGAAAGTTATAATTTATTCTTTAGTGAATCTCTGAAGCAACTGCAACAGTCACAAACCTTAGGAGACATCAAGGTAGAGGAGAAGGTAATGTTATTTATTTAGAACACGAGGCTGTTTGAAGACTCTCAGTCTAACTGCATGGTTGTAGAAATATATGTCAGTGACAAAGACATGATCTTGAGTTGTGTACGTGGAAGAAACATGGGTGGGGTTTATGTAAGTACTTGGAGATTTCTGTGTTGGTTATTAAATGCAACCTTTCACTTGCTGTCATCAGTTTCTGTGACATCTTAATCTCTGCCTTGCATGGTAAAAGAAAAGAGTCATTCATTTTTCTAACTCTTCTCTTTCAAAGTCATTCTGCTGCTGCTACAGTAGGTATTTTAATATATAAATGTGATGATATAAAATAGTCTATGAGTCATCTCTAAAGGTGCCACTGGAATATTGGGGGGTTTATCTGCTCTTCAGAGATAGCCAGGAGATTTATTTGAGATATATTGGGCCATATGTCTTAGTAGGGATCCTCTAGCATCTTCAAAATATAACAAAAATTGCTTACAGTTTGGCCTATCTTTGAACTTTCAAAACTTGACAATACTCAATATTCAACACAATATTCAGAATTCAAAAAGTTATTTTTATATTCAATTCTCTTACTCCCTGGAGTACTTTGCACACTATTTGTTGCATTTTGAGGGTACGTAGCAATTTTTTCTGGCTTGTGGGTTTTTGGCTGTCTGAAGAAGTCCGTATGCTGTAAACATCAATAGCGTGGGGGTTTTAAACTCTCCCGTGTCAGGAGACTAATCTCATCGGGTTGCAGAGAGCATGGTTTGCCTTCCAGGTGTGTGTCCTGTCTCCTCACCCTCATCTTTTCCGTGTCCTCACTAACCTGTTGATGTCCACAATATGAAGTTTTCAATTCACAGATGCATGTCGTTTTCAAAGCTTTATCACATCCTGTGCTCTCGATAGATCACTGACTTAGATCACTTGTGCATTTGAGCTGCCTAACACTCACAGCCTTGCCACACCTCGGTAAGTAGAGGATTTTTATGCTAAAGTGTCTTTTTTTATTTAAAAAAAAAAAAACGTGCAAACTAAATTTCTTGCCACTCTGCTCACCCCTGTGTCAGCCACTGAGACTTTTGCGCTTTCCTTTCAGCTGGATAAAGTCATCGCGGGCACCGTCGATCAGAGCACGGGCGAAGTCCTGTCTGTCTTTCAGTCGGTGCTGAGAGGCCTCCTCGATTATGACACGGGAATTCGCTTGCTTGAGACCCAGCTCATGATTTCTGGGCTCATCTCGCCAGAATTAAGAACGTGCTTTAACCTCAAAGATGCCCAAAGTCACGGCCTTATCGATGAGCAAGTTCTGAGCCAACTCCAAGAACTCGATGAAATGAAGGAGATTATCTCCGCTGTGTCGTCCACCAGGGTTCCGGTGCTGGATGCCCTGGCTGAAGGTGTGATCTCAGAGGCCATGGCCATCAGAGTGCTCGAGATCCTGCTTTCCACGGGCTCTCTGGTTATTCCAGCCACAGGAGAACAGCTGACCTTGCAGAAGGCTTTCCAGCAGCACCTGGTTTCCTCAGCCTTATTTTCTAAAATCCTGGAAAGGCAGAATCTTTGCAAAGACCTGATTGACCCCTCCACCTCTGAGAAGGTGTCTCTAATAGATATCATGCAAAGAAGTGTTTTGCAAGAAGACTTAGGGATGCGGCTTCTGCCTGTGAGGCCTCAGGAAGGAGGCAGAATAACATTAAAATGTGGCCGAAATGTGAGCATTTTAAGGGCAGCACATGAAGGCCTCATAGACCGTGAGACCATGTTCAGGTTACTGGGCGCCCAGCTGCTCTCAGGAGGTCTGATCAATTCCAAGTCTGGTCGGAGGCTGACTGTCGAAGAATCCGTGGCAGAGGGGGTAATGGACAGAGACACTGCCAACAGCATCCTCACCTACCAGGTGGAGACAGGAGGAATCATCCGCTGCAACCCCCCCAAGCGTCTGACTGTCGATGAGGCAGTCCAGTGCAATCTGATCCCACCCAGCAGTGCCCTTCTGGTCCTTGAGGCTCAGCGAGGCTACGTGGGCCTCATCTGGCCTCACTCTGGGGAAATCTTCCCCACATCATCATCTCTGCAGCAGGAGTTGATCACCCACGAATTGGCCTCCAAGATCCTGGAAGGGAGGCAGAAAATCGCTGCTCTTTACATCCCAGAAACTTGTCAAGTCATCGATTTGGAGGTTGCCACACAACTCGGAATTATAGATAATAACACAGCATCGATTTTAAAAAGTATAACACTGCCCGATAAAATGCCAGATTTGAGAGATTTAGAAGCTTGTAAAAATGCCAAAAGATGGCTCTCTTTTTGTAAATTCCAACCGTCTATGGTCCATGATTACAGGCTAGATGAGGATGCTTTTGATGGAGAAGAGCCAGTGGCAACTCAGAGCTCAGAACAAACTAAAAAGTTGTTCCTGTCTTATTTGATGATAAATAGCTATATGGATGCAAACACAGGGCAGAGGCTTTTGCTGTATGATGGAGACTTGAATGAGGCTGTCGGGATGCTCCTGGAAGGCTGTGGTGCAGAAATTGACAAGGACACACCCACTGAAGAGTGTTCTGATGTCTTAAGACTCCCTGGTGTATTTCTGAATAACACTGCAAGTAAAGCAGTGGGTGAAAGTCCAGCTTCACCAAGTAGTTCTGATGAATGTCTTCAGAGAGAACCTGAAAATAAAGAAACCCCTGAAAATGCCATAGACGAAGAGTTTCAGGAATTGGAGACTAATGTTATCAGGAGTGAATTTTGGCTGTCAGAAAACCTGGCAGATGTAATCGCAACTGATCTTAAAGTTAAGAAATCACCCGGTGTGTGTGTTCCCTGTTCCAGATCATACTTAAGACAGCCTGGACTTGCTGATGTTAGCCTGCCCAGTCAAGACTCTGAAAACAGACTTGAAAATGGTGAAAATCAAAGTCAATTAGAAACAAAGGAACATGCAGATGAATGTAGTTGTTCTAAAAACCTCCACAAGTTTGCAAGTGATTTGATAACAAATCCTATGATAAAATCAAAAACTAGTAGAGCCTATGATTTAAATGAAACAGAGAATGAAGATAATATTAGCAGGGGTTCAACTCTCTTTGACTATTCCCCCAGGCTAAGTGCCTTGTTAAGTCATGATAAACTGAGGACCCAGCAGGGAAGTTTTCATGATGTCCGCAGTGCAGAGAGTAGTGGAAAGAAATGTGAAACCTCTACATTGCCGTTCAATGAGCAAACCGAGTCATCAGGTCAAAGAATAAGAGAAAAATTTCAAGACCAGTTTCTGGGAATTGCAGCTATTAACATCAGTTTAAAGGGAGAGCAAGCTGTAGAGAAATCTTTCAGTGTTGGTTGTAGTCATCCTCAGGTAGAGGAGCAGAGTGATGACTTTGGTTCAGATACTTGTGGTGAAGATGAAGACACTCCTGCTGCTTCTCAGCGGGAACCCGAAGAGGAGCAAAGTGAGTCCACAGTGGAAGGGTCCTCGGGTGCCCCGACCCCGAGGGCTGGTCGTCGTCATGTCAGCCCAGCTCACACCCGGACCCCATCTTTGGAAGGAACTGTCAGCGCCAGTGCTGGCGACTATGAAACGTCCCTGCTGGACGATCGGCAGAGCGACACAGCAACGGACACAGACAGCGATGCTGACTTTTATGACACACCCTTGTTTGAGGACGACGACCACGACTCCCTGCTCCTCGAAGGTGACGACTGTGATTGCCTGCAGCCCGAGGACTATGACTCGCTGCCAGAGGACGACTGGGCCGCTCCTCCTGGAGAGCTTTTCTATGATGTTTCTGCAGAGGGCGAACATTCTATGGGGACCCAGGCGGGGCTGGCTGACAGCTTAGGTGTGAGGGGAGAAGTGCAGTCTTTGCAGGATTTTCTCATAGGTGCTGGGAAGGCAGAGTTCGGTTCTGGTGAAGAAATCCAGTTAAATTCACTTGGGTCCCATGAAGTGAGCGGACCGTTGATGGAAACTGTATCAGAAAGGGACAGTGCAGATGACCTTGAAGGTGATGAGTCTGACTCATTGACTGACTATGAAATTGTGGGAGAAGAGAGCTTCAGGACGGAGGTAGAATCTGAGGATGCTGGCTGCTGGGAAGAGAGAGAAAAAGACTGTGTAACTGGACAAGGATTCAAATCTGCTCCTGATCATTTAGAGTCTGTGCAAAGCAAAGACAGTTACAAGGGTTCCGTGTCTGTCCGTAATGAGCAGGATGACGCCGATGACTGTGCTGCTGATGCTGGAGATGGAGTGGGCCGGGAGGGCGCGGAGCCTGTGGGCCAGGGTGCGGCTGCGGCCCTGGTCATCCCTGGGTGTATTGCAGCTGCTCCTGAAACAGAAAACAGCTGTGTAAGTCAAAGGAACAATAAAACGATTCTCCCGACTCAAAAGCATCATCATAATTCTTCACAAAAACAGCAGGGTGTGAATGTTTTACAGCCAGAATCAAGTAGTAAAAGTAGCTTGGGTCCTGAAATTAACCACTTTCTGGAAGATACAAATGAGGTTGTTGGAAAAAGCATAGAAGATCTGTTGAATCATGAGATAGTCCTTCAGGATGAATTACTGCCTCTCATGAAAGACACTGAATTAGAAAACACCTTTAGCCCTGTTGGTGCCTTACCTAATACTAGTATCAGTTCAGCCTCTGAACTAGAGGACCACCTAAAGAACACAGGGCTTAAGTTGGTTCAGCCAGAATCTGCTGACTCTGTGAAAGGTGGAAATCCATATTATGAGAATGTGACACTTCGTGGTGACTCCTCTAATGATGAAATCATTTGTTCTGAGCCCAGTTTAACAGGAAAACCTGCCGAGGAAGGCCATTTGTCATTCACAGTGTCTGTAGCTGATAACGATCCTCCAGGCAGTGGAAGGGATCTAATTAAAAGGAGAGCTGACAAAAGCAATATACTAACAGAAGATGAAGCATCAGTTCCTAAAATGTGTGCAGATAAAGGAGTTCTCATAGAAGGTCCCTTAGAAGATAATAAATATCCTGAACTTTTGC